TTTTTAAAGGAGCCTGAAGTAAGCTGGCCTTTAAATTCTGTTAATATGGAATCACTGCCAGAAATGCGCGAATTTTCATGTGTTGCACAAATGGACGTTATCCATAATGTTAACAATTTTATTCAATTTAATCGTTTTTCTAAATTTAATCGGCTTAGGCGTGCAGTAGCTTACATGCTACGCTTCATTGATGCATGTAGACGAAGGCCACTTGCAGGCAATTATCTCTCTGAAGTCGAGTTACGTAACGCCCTGAACGTCATTATTAGAGTGTCTCAGATGGAGTCATTCAGTGAATATATGAATTTAGTCAATAATAAAGGGTTATCAAAAAAGAGTAATTTACTTAAATTTAATGTATTTTTAGATGAATTTAAAATTATGCGAGTAGGCGGTCGTCTTGAAAATTCTATATTTTCATATTCAAAGAAGCATCCAATTCTTCTACAGTCCACTCATCCTTTTACAATTTTGCTTTTTGAATTTGAACATGAAAGGCTTATGCATGCTGGGCCACAATTATTGTTAGCATCAATTAGAGAAGCTTATTGGCCAATAGGGGGGCGTAATTTGGCAAGATCCTGTTATCGTCGCTGCATTAGGTGTTCTCGGATGAAATCAAATCAAATCAAATCAAAATCATTTATTCCAAATAAACCATAAATAGGTACTTTTGAAACGTCAAAATAGAATAGTAGTCTGTCAGTCTGTTCGTCAGTGAAGCTAGGTGCTCGTTCCAAATTGTAGTTTCGAATGGAGAAGAACGAGCAAGAAACTCCATCGTTACTCTTTTAAAAAAAAAAAAAAATTTGTTTTACAATTCATAAATAATACATTTTTTATACATTACTGTACCCCTATGTGAGAACAATGCAGAGACAAGTTGTTAATAAAAAGGAACAAATGATGGTCTATCTAATCTATCATTAAAATTTTAATCCTTTGTTGTCTCGAACATGGCGCTCACATATGCGTACTCACAATCCAAAAGAATGCTTCTATATAAACTCATTCAAGGTTTCATTATTTTTGAGAATTTCAATAACTACTGACTACATATTTGAGTATTGTCCAGTGGAGCCGAACCAACATGATGCCAGGCATTCTTGTCCTCAATATAATCTGAAAGTTTGTAGTATGCCTGTCTACATAATTCGCGTTTAATATAAGTTTTAAATTTTCGTTCATTAAGATTTAATACACTTCTTGGAATTTTATTGTAACAATTTACACAGAACCCCATAAAGGATTTCTGTACTTTGGACAGACGGAATCGTGGCACAGCCAGCCTATCTTTGCCTCTTGTATTAAAATTATGTCTATCGCTTCTTTTTTCAAATAATTGCAAATTTTTCCTTACGTACATAATGTTTTCATAAAGAAAGGAAAGGTTGTAGCACCAATAATGGGTAATTTACCACACCAGCGCCTTTCACCGGGAGGTTTTCCTTTTCAAACTGTTGGCGTAGACTACGCGGGCCCTATCTCTTCCGCTAGTCGTCAGGGTCGTGGTTGTCGCATAGTGAAGGTTTATATTGTATTGTTCATCTGTTTCACTACCAAGGCAATACATTTAGAGTTAGTTGGTGATATGACGAGCTCCGGTTATTTGTCAGCTCTGCGTAGGTTTATTGCACGTAGGGGTAAACCGACACAGATGTTCTCTGACAATGGGACAACATTTGTCGGAGCATACAATGATTTGGCAAAGTTTCTAAAGAACAATTCTGATGAACTATCTGGTGACTTGGCAAATGAAGGAATAGACTTTCATTTTATTCCTGCCTATTCACCACATTTTGGGGGCATCTGGGAGGCGGGAGTTAAATCTACAAAATATCATTTGCTTAGAGTGCTGGGAAATTGTAACCTCACTTACGAGGAATTAAATTCTACTTTGGTCCAAATCGAAGCCATTTTAAATTCACGGCCACTCACGCCTTTGTCTTCGCACCCCGAGGATATGACGCCGCTAACCCCTGGACACTTTTTAATCGGACGCCCTCTTACCTCGCTACCAACAAAGGATCTTCAAGATCATAGTGCTGCCCATCTCACCCGCTTCCATCGTATCGAGCAATTGCGACAGCATTTTTGGACAAGGTGGAGCAAAGAGTATGTGTCGGAACTCCAACAACGGACTAAATGGCAGACTTCCAACCACCCTTTGCAGATCGACTCCCTCGTTTTGATAAAGGAAGATCACTTGCCTCCCTTCAAGTGGAAGCTGGGCAGAATTATTCGGCTGTATCCTGGTGCCGACCAAGTTGCTCGCGTAGCGGAGATCAAAACCTCGACTGGAGTGGTCAGAAGATCTTTTAGTAAAATTTGTCCGCTGCCGATCGGGGATAATCAGTAGCTGGTTGAAAGGAAGACTTTCAACGCCCGGGGGCATGTCGGAGCGCCTACTGTTTTTTATAAAGCAATATTAAACTCAAGTGGTTAATGATGCGAACGACCGCACGTTAGGCTTATGTGCAGTTAATTTTATTATATTGTAACCTCTAATCAATCAGTTTTTTGTCTTGGTTCGGATTACACGCTATTAATTCTACTCGACTGCTTTTAAATTATTTTACCACCTTGGAGTCTTATACACAAGTAAATAACAACTTTAGTGCCTATTTCTGTATCCCGTAATTGAATACATGTTTTCAAAAATTAAACATGGCGGTTTGTTTTTCGATTCGAGAATTATTAACACGACTGTCCAAAAAAGGGAGAAAACACTCCTTTTTATGGGCAGTCGTATTTAGGGTTCAAGTATGTGTGTGAGTTTCCTTATTCCACAGTAAATTTTTATTGTCTTGTCACAGAGAAGTAACGAGGCGTACCTAGTTACTGCAGTTTTACAACAATCTTAAATGTTTCCATTAAAATTTGACGTAGATAAACATATGTAGGATATAGGGTTGAGTCTGCTCCGTACAATTCGTCGTGTCACGTCATTCTACCTATCCCTTCCTTATTCCTATCAACGTATAGTGCCTATAAACGTTGTGCTTATATTCTCTTTGATTCCTACACGTATAGGGTTGCCAGGTCGTTAGGCCTTATAGCCGGACAGACCAGCCCGTTTGGCCGGACACACTACATTCTTAAGGATTTTTTATCTCAGTATTAATAGGTACGACAAGATTTAATGTAAATCAAGCATTTTGATTATTGTCATAAAGTCATAAATCTTGTTGAATTCTTATGAAATAATTAATAAGTCTAAGTCTTTGCTTCACTCCAGCCATGTTTGGTGTTTCGTTTGCGATTGTGAAAAGTTTAGGTAAAAAGCCTATCAAAAGCCGGACAGGCCGGACACCGTTTATTTTGGCCGGACTAGCAATCAAAAAGCCTACCTATGTCCGGCTTTATCCGGACGCCTGGCAACGCTATACACGTATAAGTCTACGATTCCTTTTTTGTCTTTTTCCATCCTTCCGTCGTCTTGCGCACTTCCTGTTGTGTTCAGTTTCTAACACATAGTATATCTATATATATACTTATTAAAGATAGTATATTTATAAATTAGCAGATACCTAGGAAAATTCCTAACTAAATAAGGACTTATCCTTTCATCTAAAGGTTGTCAATATGTAATACTAATAAAAGGAGCTGTCATAGTTGCGCGAACGCAGGCGTCTGCTTAGGGTCAAATAGAAATGTATTGGCTATGTGCAAAGCGAGTAGTGGCGGACAGATAACGACCGCAGCGCACGGCAGAAATTGGAAACAAATGCGGACGTTCAGCTATCGGTTTTTATTATTATATATTAATTTTGCAGTAAAATTATTGAATAAATTGTCACCAATAATATTTTAATCTTTGGTTTTATTTATATTTGCAAAGAAAATAGTAATGTTTATTTATTCTTTATATATAATTGCATTAAATTACATTAAATATAAACACTAATACACATAATATTAATAAATACTAATACTAATAATATATTATAATGAGGACAAATTGTAATCCAAGTGGGGAAACTACCATCATTTTGCCTATGTACCTACTCACGCACCCTATGCTTGAGACACAACCGGCTGGTTGCAGCTCTGATATCCGAGGGAAGCTTATTCCACAAGCCATTACTTGTAAGAAGAAAGAAGAATGAGTATAGTAAGTGCGGTGGGCAGGGACATGCAAAAGTCGATTGTGCGAAGAGCGCAGACTTCTATTATAGTATGATTGTCGCACACGTACTGGAAATATGAAGATAAATAGTCAGGGGAAAAGGGAGAGTTGAGAAGAGTAAATAAAGTTGTGAGCGCCCTTAGCTCTCTACGTTGACGGATAGGCAACCATTTCAACAATGTTCGCTGCCCAGACACGTGATCATATTTACGTAAGTTGGAAACGAATCGAATGCAGTTATTTAGAAGACGGCCGAGTTAATTGAGGAGATCTGCATTCAGGTCATAGCAACACACGTCACCATAATCGATGATGGAAGATTAAGGTCTGTACAAGCATCGCCTTAGTGCTAAGAGGCAGTAAGTTTCTGTGACGATACAGAGACCGCAATGATCCTGTAACCTTTTGACTCACACTGGCAACTTGATTCCGCCAACTGAGGGTGCTGTCAATGTGCAAGCCCAAGTCCTTAACACTGTCACTAAACCGGACAGGTGTACCGCCGTAAGTGACTGATGGTAGAGTATTCATATTATGGTTACTACCTATCACAATTGATTGCCTGGCACTTGTCAGGATTGACTGCGATTCCAAACCGGTTGGACCAGTTCTCGATAGCAGCCAAGTCCCGATAATTATTAGCCAAGTTACGATTAATGTTTACATTGTTATTATTTGACAGCTTCCTGAAATGTAAACGCTACGCGTCGCCACTGTCGCGCACATAGCCAATACGATTATATAATTTTTATTTGCAAATAAACATGAGCCCAGATAACAGATGCCCGCCGTAACCCCTAGTGGGGTGAAAACCATTTTTTATTATGTGATATGTCAAAGATATTAACGTATTTGAAATTAAATTAAAATTAACCACGAATGTTTAGGAAATGTTTTTATTTGTGTTTTTTTTACAATTTCAATTGTCAAATCGATAGATAGATCTTTTCACGACGCTCAGTTCTCGCTTAAAGTATCTGTCCAGAAGTACAGACCGATGGCGCTGAGCTCGTGCTCGGTCGGCAGAGACAGAATAAAATACAATACAATTTGGTGTTATCATTTATTACGAGTAGGGCGAGTGCAACAAGCGCGGCTAGGGCGGGCGCCGCTCGGTGACGGCGGCGTCGGCCGTGGCCTCGTAGCGCGGCGGGTTGGCCCACGGGTCGTAGCCCAGCACCGACAGCATCGGCGCCAGCTCCGCCATGTCGGCGCGCACGTCGGCCGGGATCTGCCCCACCCACTTGTCCAGCGCGTCCAGGTTCACGGGCCGCACCACCTGGTCCGACGACCGCTCCACACTGCCGAACAAACGTAAACTTAATAACTTAATACCGACACCCCCACCTATCGTAATATTTTCTTTCGTACATTTAAAGTAATAATATTTTAGCTACTAGCGGCCCCGTCTTACTTCACACGGATGCTCCTCCAATTAAATAAAAATAAATTTCAGAAAACCTTCTCCCAAAAAGAATTAGCGAAATCGGTTCAGCTCTTGTCCAGATTTGAGATTAGCTTGTTTTGCGATTCATTTTTTTTAAGTTTTATATTTACATAAAAAATAATGTGGCAAACTAGCAGACGGACTACACTCCTAGCACCAAAGGAGTTACTACAAGTGCGTTGCCGGCCTCTTGTGGGTTATCTACAATGCTCTAGAGATTTGAAAATTGAGGATGTGGGGGGAGAAAGATTTGGCTCTTCAGTAACCTCACTCACGCGACAAACACAACGTAAGTATTGCTAAACGCCGGTTTTCTGTTAGGCCGTGGTATCACTCCGGTCGGTCGCATACGTGCCGGAGCATGGCTCTCTCCCATTTAAATTCTGTGTCATTATTAATGTTTGATGTATCGGGTGAGGCTGCGAGTTCGCCGGGTCACCTCGTTACACATAATAATATGCGCGCACGTACTCCTGGCAGTGGCGGACTCAAGATCCGAGCAAGGGATGTAAAGACGTGGAGTTACTTGGAGAGCGCGACGCCGTTGGGCTGGTTGATGTACTGCTCGTGGTGCAGCACGGCGTCGTGCCAGGGCAGCTGCAGGAAGTCCAGCACGCGGCGCATCGTGGCGCCCGGCCGCAGCACCAGCGCCTCGTACCGCACCATCAGGCACTTGTCCGCGCCCATACTCTTGCACTGCTGGTACATCAGCTCCACGGCGTGGTTCCACTTCGTCAGGCACTGCCGGTAACTCGTCAGGTCGAAGCCCGTTATGGTCACCTGCGTACAAAACATAACTACATTCACTAATAATATATGTATCTTATCTTCATTTATGTTACCTACGCCGGATTGTGCCGGTCTACTGACTACTCTATAGTGTCAATACTAACTCTGTACCAATACCTATTATAAAAGAATAAATAGGCGCCGAAGATACTACTCGGCCGATTTCAAAAATTATTTCACTGTTGTGAAGTTCCGCTATCCCCGGTGAAAGAAATTATTTTTTACAAAATTAGGGTCTTTTTTATATTAATCACCAACAATTGTCTTTTTTATATTAATCACCAACAAGATCTGATGAGCTAGTCGATAGAATTAGATAAGTGTAACCATTACTTATAGGTAAACTCAACATTTCAAATACATAGACATATAAAATACATATTATCAAATTTGTCATATCATGAAAATATTAGGTATTTTAATATCAAAATTTTTATTAGGTAGGTATATTTATACCTATTTTTTTTTCAAGTTATGAACCAAAAATTTAACAATAACTCATAACATAACACACTAACAGAGACTACGAATTAACAGAATTACAAAGATATAAAAGTATATGTTTATCCGAAAACAAAAATAAAAATTCATTAAATTAATCACAAATCAGCCAGGCCAGAGAGAATAGACTTATGTGTGCCAATGGAATCTGTAGGCTGTGAAATCAGGTCTATCGCTACAAGCATTGATAACCTTACAAAGTCTTGCGCAGAGATATTTGCACCCAATGTCTTAATGTCAATGATTGCACGGTTGGCGCGGTGATTGGGCAACTGGCTGCCGCGAAAAGTATAGCGAGTTCAATTCCCGCACAGAACAACTCTTTGTGTGATCCACAGATTGTTGTTCCGGGTCTGAGTGTGATGTGCATGTGAAATTGTATGTTTTGTGAACGCACCCACGACATAGGAGAAAATCATAGTGTGGGGCAACGTTATTTAAAAAAAGAAAAGAATTGAATGTAATTTGCAGCGGCGAGCACAAAGGTGGAATAGGACATCGCGGAATTGTGGAAGACTAAGAAGGCAAGTCAAACAATAATAGTGTAAAGATATTACCTATACATATAAGTACCTATTATTTGATGATTAGTAGGTACCGATCAATATATTTTGCTAATACTGTTGTTGCTTGGTATGTTTACTTGGCACCGACTTCAAGATTGTATAAATAGTTATAAATATTATTTTCTATTTAACTAAATGAAAATACGTATTTATTTTTACGAAGCAAGTTATTTTTTTTTTTTTTGTTTGAGTTTAATTTTTGAATGCATTGAATGTTTATTTTTTGTTAAAAATCATTTTTATTTCAACATTTTAAGTGATAGGCAGAGAAAGCAAGGAGGCTTCTCGAATGAGAGGACGACGGCTACTTGAGACCGACAAACACGTTATCAAATGGTAGTCCTGAGTCAGTCAGAATACAGTGCTTTAAATCGTTGAAGAATTCCAATCATCAGGTAAACTGCAGACCTTCAGTAAACATAATCCATACAGGTAAGTACAAAGCTTTCATCAATTAAGTAATTAATGTAACACAATGTGTAAATAAAAAATATTTTTGTAAGAAAAACAAACCAAAGTAGGTAAACTTAAAATAAAAAAAAAAAACAATTTTCTTTGTAGGAAGTAATTCTGTGCCAGGTGGAACAAAAATAGTGTAAAGATATTACCTACACACTTATTGTTAGTTTGATGATTAGGAGGTCCCGATAAATATATTTTTTCTAATACTCTTGTTGTTTGGTATGTAGCATTCACTTGGCACCGACTTCAAGATTATAAAATAGTTTGTAATAATATTTTCTATTTAGCTAAATGATGACAACGGATGCTGAATGACCTGGCTGACTCTTCTATACGCATCGGCCTACGGATGAACTTGGATAAAACCAAGGTCATGTTCAATGAACATGTACTACCGGAACCGATTGCAGTACACGGCGCTGTTCTCGAAGTCGTTCAAAAATATGTATACCTCGGGCAGACATTGCAGATGGGTAGAAACAACTTCGAGAACGAGGTGAATAGAAGAATTCAGCTAGGTTGGGCAGCATATGGAAAGCTGCGTCAAGTCTTCACGTCGTCGATCCCACAGTGCCTAAAGACGAAAGTCTTCAATCAGTGCGTCCTACCTGTCATGACATACGGAGCCGAAACGTGGACACTGACGGTGCGGCTGGTTCACAAGCTAAAAGTCACTCAGCGAGCTATGGAGAGGGCTATGCTCGGCGTTTCTCTGCGAGATCGAATCAGAAACGAGGTGATCCGGCAGAGAACCAAGGTAATCGACATAGCCCACCGGATTAGCAAGCTGAAATGGCAGTGGGCTGGCCATATTAGCCGAAGAACCGATGACCGTTGGAGTAGACGAGTTCTTGAGTGGAGACCGCGTCTCGGCAAACGTAATGTAGGACGTCCTCAGGCAAGGTGGAGTGATGATTTGCGCGAGATGGCTGGCAGGAGCTGGATGCGAGTGGCCGAAGATCGATCCCAGTGGCGTGCAATAGGAGAGGCCTATGTCCAGCAGTGGACTGAAAAGGGCTGATGATGATGATGATGAAATGATCACAGTAAATGATAACATCCTCCTTTTTGGAAGTCGGTTAAAACCGGCCAATAACGTATCGGGCTACGCTCAATGAACACACTGTCTGTCACAATAAGTACTATTATTAGATATAGAGTTATTGTAAATCTTAAAACCGCAGTTCAGCATAAGTAGCAAAAGTACAGCGCCATCTCTTAGGGAATTAGGTTACTAATGACATTGACACTTTATACATATCTTTAAAATTTTGTTTGACGTCAAAAGGGCCTGTGTGGGTCTAATTGAAATAAATTATTTTGATTTTGACTAATTAATACAAACCAGACGGATTGGTTATTGTGGATTCCGTAAATCGATTTTAATAATTCTTTTTTTAATTGAAAGAAGATACGTTCTGAATAATAAAATATATAAAAAATGTTTAAAAAACGGTTAAAATTAGTTCCGATTTTTTTGGATAATATTTCAAAAACCTATCGAGTTCAAAATAATTTTTCTAGAGAGAATGTATGAAGTTCTACTTCCAAGATTTTTTTCATTTATACTAATATTATAAAGAGGTAAAAGGTAAAAGGAGAGGTAAAAGAGGTAACTGATAGATAGCTAAAATGTTCGTGAGGGCTATAAATCATCACGCTATGATCAAATAGAGCTGAGCAGCGGATGAAATCGCGCGAGAGTAGCTAGTATGTATTTTTAACCGACTTCAAAAAAGGAGGAGGTTCTCAAATCGACGAGTATTTTTTTTTTTTTTATGTATGTACACCGATTACTCGAAGACGCCTGGACCGATTTGCAAAATTCTTTTTTTATTCGATAGGGTATACTTGCCATTTGGTCCCATTGTCATGAGGTCAGGATCTGATGATGGAATCCTGGAGAAACCGAGGGGAACTTTCGAAAATTGTAGGGGCGAGTAGGTTTTTTGTATTATGTTTAAGTAGGCCTTTAACAACACTACAACTTGACGAAGGTCGAAGTCGACCAGATGTTGGAGCTGGAAGACAGTCGAGGGATCTCCTTGACTATTTGGAGTAATTGCCTTGTGTTTGGGCTTGAATGATTCGTATTGGCGAGCACTTTGCAGCAGGCTTGGTCGTAACTGTCGTTAAGGGTCTGATGATGAGAACGAAGGACAGCTCAGGGAACTCCTGAACGATTTACTGTAACTACTTCGTGTTTGAACTTAATTCATTTATATTGATGAAAACTTTGTACCTGTAGGTATGTATCATAACAACTGAAGGTCTGCAGTTTACCTGATGATGGAGACAATTGACCGTCGAGAGAATTCCGGATTGAAACGAGAGACAGTCGAGAGAACTCCTCAACGATTCATAGCAGCTTCCTTGTGTTTGAGCTTAATTTATTCGTTTTGATGAGAACTTTACACCTTGATGGATTGTGACTGTCATTAGGGATCTGATGATGAAGACGAACGACAGTCTAGGGAACTCCTCAACGGTTTACAGTAGCTACCTCGTGTTTGGACTTAATTTATTTATATTGTTAAGACCTTTCCCTCTCCTAGAGAGATAGCCTGTGTCCCAGTAGTGGGAACATTAAAATGGCTGATGATGATGATGATGATGATGATGATGATGATGATGAGAACTTTCCCATTTCTTGGGATCTATATTTTTTAATCGGGCGGCTCCTTTCGTTGGCCTACACATAGCTACTTAAAAATATTTATACTATTCAATATGTTAATTTATATTTAAAATATTACTGTAGTTTACAGAAGAACTTGCAACAGACACTAAACAGAAAAAAAGAACTACGTTTAAAAAAACCGACTTCAAAAACAAAAAAGTGTCAAATAAGTAATTAAAATTGATATTTTAATAGCACTCTTACGTACGGGAAGCTAATACTTTTAATATTAATAATAAAACACTATCGAATCTATGTGCTACCTATTCATAGATTTGAAGTCGGTGCCAAGCCCTAAACAGAATAAAACTAAATGAGAATTAAGACTGTTTAAATGCTAAAAGACGAAATTTCCACAACTAACTACGCAGCTACCTACTACTACTTTTAACAACCAAGTAGGTACGAGAAAACTTTCAGAATTCATAATTCATCCAAATATCTTTCTAAGCTATATACAGTTTCGCCGGTAACGAAACCATATAGACTTCTGATTCTACGCTAACGCCATCAAGTTAGAAAATCGGTACTAAATTTCTTAAATCCTTACAAATAAATTCAAACGCGCCCGGCGAGTTTAGGTACTCATGTAATCATGCTTATTATATTATGTATTAGGCTTGGCACCGACTTCAAACCTATGAATAGGTAGCACATAGAATCGATAGTGTTTTATTATTAATATTAAAAGTATTAGCTTCGCGTACGTAAGAGTGCTATTAAAATATCAATTTTAATTACTTATTTGACACTTTTTTGTTTTTGAAGTCGGTTTTTTTTCTAACATCATGGTTCAAAAGTTTTTTTTTTAACTTTTGGGGCAATTATTTCCGAAAACATTAATATTATCAAAAAATGATCTTTGTAAGCTCAGTATTCAGTTTTAAATACCTATCCAACAATATACCACATCTTAGGGTTGAAATGAAAAAAGATCACACCCTACTTTACGTGTTGAGGGGGAACCAAAAAAAAATATTTTTTTACCACTTTGTCGGTGGGATTGATTAATAAAGGCCACTGAAATTATCCGCGGACGGACGGACAGACATACAGACATGGCGAAACCATATGGGTTCCTAGTTTACTACGGAACCTGAAAAAATAGCAAACATCTTTCTTAAATGGCGTGCGATGCGATACCCGTTGTCAATACGACAAAATGACCTATGTACTTTAGACCTTATTAGGTTGGTATTGTACATTAACGTATGGCTAGCTATTATAAGTAGTTACGTTGCATAATCAATGTATTATTTTTCAAATCAATCGTACCTACGGACGGAGTAAGGACGACTGCTTTTTTGTGACGAACAAAACCATTGCATGACTACTCGTGCCCTGAACAATGCGAGAGGGAGTATCAGGAGTACGCGCGTTTCTTCAATGTTTGTACGTCGTATCGGAAATACAACCGGTAAAGGATCATTCTAATGTTTTCATGTGCGAGGCAGAAACTCTCGCGTAAATCTTACAGTAGCTATAAAAGGTGTAAAACTCCATCCCTCTCGCCCCCTTTAACACGTTAGGCCCTCAGCTCTTGACTGCCAACCATCCATAGATAAGTAAGATAGGAATTAAAGTATTTTAGATGCGGCAGGGATCAAACCGAACAATTCGTCAAAAAGCTATCCGTTGTATTGCAGCTATGGCGGTAGAGAAAACATGGCGAGGCTACATCTCTACGTATTTGACTACGATGCCTGAAATTCGGGTAATTCCAAAACGACCGTATTGACATTTTGCTACAGTCCCTTATCTGCTTTTATTACTTGTATAATGGTCATTGGTCGGTTAATGACCCATCAAAGTATTAAGATAGACCAGATTTAAAATAATAATGTATTTAATAAAATATCATTTGTATCTAATATTAATGTGTTTTACAGTACTTATAACTATCTATAGTTTCAGAACCTATCCAAGAACAAACGTAATAATTATTCTAATTAATATTTAATATTATGCGATCAAATTGCGGATCCTCATTTTTTATTTGTGAATCCAGTTTAAATATGAAAACTTTTTACCGAATTCATTTTTATTTGTAAAAAACTGAAAGTAAAAACAGTCAGCCTGTACAATTTGTTCAACGATGTAAAGTTATTACTTTATATGAACTTATAGTAGGATCCGCGAGATACCAGAAAGACCTAAGTGCTGAGGCTGCACACGAACTCGTTTGTGTCAACAACTTTAATGAAACAAGACCACAAATTGTTGTTCCGGCTCTGGAATTGTCCGAGTGTGACCCACCGTACTAGTCGGGAAAAGCAATGTTTCTTTTTGAAGCGTTCTGTCAGTTAAGTAAAGAACGTTAACCTTATTTGGGGTGACTCTATCCCACTTAGCTGTGACTACTTGTTACAACTGAGCTTCCTAAATCAAGGCGCTGCAAGCATTTACTAGTCACGTAAATTTAAAAATAATTACGTGGCTGTCGAATTGATTGTTACGGTCTGGCTTGTTGTGCATTTTAATTTGTGCGTATAGTGTGCGAATATTCAATTAGTATTACTGTTTGTTTTATCAAATAAAAAATAACTTAAGGATAACCTTGGGTTATTTTATGGATCCATATTTTATAATATGAAATACAAATTCCATATGTTTATATGTACCTAGGTATTACGCGCAAAGTAGGAAACACCTTACTATAAGTTATAGAAAATGTATTTTTCACAAAACGGTAAACAGCTAGGTGATAGAACGAACAAGTTATTTAGCCCTTAGTTATTTTACAGGCATTTAAGACATCAGAAGCATCGATAAACACATCAACACACAACAACTCGACTATCGTTCTTAGGAAATATAGCCCAATTTGCTAGAAACATTCGCCCTGACATACGGAATTTGTCACAATTTGTGGCCAGGCCTGAGACGGCATTAAGACCACCCCTGTTACATGGCGTGCCGCGGGCTTTGAAATGTAACAACGTAAGAATGGAGCAACAACTTACCTTGCGCGTGATGATCGAGTGAACGGTCGCCCGGCCGTCGCGCACCATGAACAAGAATTTAGCATTGGGAAACAGCTCCAACACATAGGTTCCCATCTTGAGCACGAGCGGGTCCTTATTGCACAGTCGCGGCGCAGTCTCGCCGTGCCTCACGATCACTTCCAAGCAGAATGCGGCTATGGCGTTGTCCAGAACCGCCTTGGACACCCCCGCTTGCTCCAGTCGCACAGACTCCTTCTGCGAGCGCAGCCAGTGCTGGCGCATCTGCAGCAGGCGCGGCACCACGCGCGTCTCCTGGCCGCAGCGCACGTCGGGGTGCGCGTCCAGCATGGCGCGCATGAGCGTGGTGCCGGAGCGCGGCACGCCCCCGATGAAGATGAGCGGCAGCTCGCGGCCCTCCACGGGCGCGTTCAGCTCGCGGCGCCGCTGCGCGCCCGCCGGCCGCGCGCCGCCGCGCCACAGCCACACCAGCAGCGCGCCCGCCACCAGCGCCGCCGCCAAGCGCCAGCGCGCGCCGCGCCCCATCGCTTTCTCGCCTAGGCCTGCACACCACACACGCACTCACGTACACGGCATACACGCATCGCCAACATGGCGGCATCGCTGCAAACCGTCATTTACTAATAATCCTGATTAATTATTCACCAAACCCCAAGCGGCGACAACGAACCCCGGCGTTCGCGCCGTCAAACAGTTATACGTAAGTACGTACAATCTATATAGGTGTCAGGAGGAAGATGGCGTAAACAGTTTTATACAGGTGTAGTATGTTTATATCACGGGTTTATATATACCTATGCAGATACTTATGTACCTATATCTTAACGTCATATATGTACATTATTATAAATATATATGCAACTATACTTAAAAATAATAAATGTCATGTACCTCATACACTCATACATAATAAAAGTTAAAAAATATAAACCGGACTTCAAAATAAGAAAATACCACTTTTTTTTGTGAGGGGAAAATCATCAAATGACTTCTCCCGCCCAGGGTCACGCGGGAGGGAAAATGCTTTTTCAGTCAGACTCTTACTGACTAAAAACCCCCCTATTCCTTCTCCTGCTCTGTGCCGAGGTCGTGGTGCCTCATTGCGCTTACCCCGCAACCCCGGCTAAGAAAATACCACTTAAAAGCCAAAAGTATTGAAATTAGAACGATAAAGTGCCACTTAACCTACCGCCTTATTAATTTTTGAAGTCTCCCCGTGTTATTTGAGAAACAGTGCGCATAGCGCGCACCTACTAACTACCCTTGCTCGCCGTTCAGACTCGCGTTTACGGCGACCGGTTATTATACCGATGCAGGTTATGTCTCTCTTGCATTGGCTGGGGCATGTGCACGATAGTTCCCTCACGCACTACGCCTCTTGCGAGTTGCGAGCATGACTGCTCGAAAGAGGAAAACGGATTCTCAGTTCCCTTCGTTGCGTACTATGGGCTCGATTTATTCTGGGCGCGACAGAGCGTCGCCGCCGATGATTTCTGTGAAGAATTGGCAGTACTCTCACACCGCTACCGTTCCTCACACTGAAGACGGGGCGTTTTCACCCCAAACTTTTATGTCAGGTTAGCACCTGCGTCAGGCGGAAGGTGAGGACGCCGTGACGTTTGTCTAGTTACTCTTAAAAGTGGTCTTACCGCTGCGCTAACAGAGAGCCCGGCGATACGTTACACTAAAGGCTTTATCAATGTACATTAAAGACCAAATAGTTTGCACAATATACACTTCCAAAGTACTCCGGGCGTCTACGGACGGCAAGCTAAGTTAGCACGACGCGTTTTGGGACTAAATAATAGTGAGGGAGGGACCTGTACCTCACATAAACCACCCCAGTTGCTACTCTGCACCCTGGCACCTGGCTGGCACATTTTATAGACCTACCCCGGAACCCTCATGGCGAAAGGCCATTACGGCACTTCCTTACAGAGACTGTGGTGGTGATCTCTATGTCACCGTCTTCCCCAAGCCGCCCATGGCCTTGAACCTACTGCAATCTGCCAACTCCGGGCGACTTGTTGAAATGTAACACATGACCAAAACCGTGAGGAAGAGCAGGAATGGGTTGCCCAGTCGATTGACCAAGACAACTGACCAAGAGGTCATGAAGCTCCAATCCAATATTGGACGACTGGTTCGGGAGAAGGGATGCCTCGTCTGGTTTCGTGGGTGCTTTGTAAAGTTCCTGTATCGCATAAACAAGGAGCTATAAGCTAGCTGCTATGGGAGGTCGCGCAACAATCTCAAGTCGTACATATGTCAAGCCAGGGATGCGGGTCCAACCGCGATAATGTCCCGCGGCCCAGATCGCAGCCGGAGAAAGAATAGGGGATTTTTAGTCAGTAATGTTTCACTCCACCCAGGGCGAGAGCAGACACTGACACATAATTTTACGATCAAGCTTTACGAATATCTCACTTCTCTCTGAGGAAATACAGAAACATAAGTTGGTTTTTACAAAGTTACAGGTTTGAATAGCTTTGTTCTAATGATAAGCATAAATGAAAAAGCATTTTCCCTAAAATAAGCAATATTGTGATGTGGTATATACTAATTATACATTACACCTACTTTTAGCCCTGGCATACCTCTTTACCTTTATCTGTATTTATCACGTTTCAATGCAAACTGAAAAAATGTAGAAATTGATGTATTACTAGGATGGGATTGCACAAAGACGCTGTCAGAATGCTGTCCTTAATGGGCATATTATGTTGGCACCTGATTGCAAGTGGTGTTAGAAACACATTAAAATTAAGACTAAGAGTAATTTCAGCTAGAAAGCTAGTAGGAAAAGATTGATTGTGATATATGTACATAATTATATTTCACACAATATGTTTCAAGATAGAAAACAAACATTTACTAAGGAGATAATTTTTTTTTCAATCAGAATGTTATCCAAAATATTATTTTGTCTTTAGCCGTCTGAGTTTCTAAAAAGTTTCTAAGATAGTAGATTACTAAAGAAATAATTTTAATTATTGCATCAGTTTATACATTAAATTAACAGGTAATCGACTTGACCAGCATTGAAACATTAAATTATTTCAAGAGCTAGCTTAACTAAATAAGATTAAGATTTCAATATTGTGACCCATAAGGAAAAACTCTAAACCAAATTAGCCAATGATTTGATAAAACATTTATGGTACTGAAGAACATTGATATCATACAAAGTTATTGGCTGTCTTGTTCTGTATGCTACAATGTAATTCACTTCTGTGAGTTGTATTTTAATGACAAAATTTTCAGTAATAGTCAAAACATGTGCTGGTCTAGTGATAGTGTGGTTACAAGATGGCTTCACCTTATATGGTAGTCTAACATACAAGTTGGAGGCACTATTCAAAGAGGAAATTCAAAACCTTCGATCATGTATCAAGATAAGTCACAAAGTACCACTTAATGCACTAAACACAGGAGGTGGGCTGGCGGTAAAATAAATAACAAATACTGCCTCGGAATAAACTAAAAATTTGTGTAAACTTACGATTGTTTATAGCACTTCCTGTTATGATTTTAACAGATCCTGGAACAATTTACAGGTAACTTCGTTTAAGCTCTGGACCAAAGAAAGTTAATGCAACACAGCTGTTCCAGCAGTACAGGTGAACATGAAGGCGCAATTTTATGGAACAACATTGTTTATGAAAGAAAACACTTCTGTGAAGATGTAGTCATAAAATACAGCGCAATCGTAAAATGCCCTTATCAAAACGTGTTTATCGCATGTACAACAACGAGATATTAGGCGACATTTTATGCTCGTTCTGAGGATTCAACCATAACTGGTATTTTAACAATATGGAGCAAAACTGGGGTGAAAAAATAAATTGATTATATTATATAATTAAATAGTTTCCCTTATGACTAAGCTGTACTTTACGGGTTAACAGGAAAATAAAAATCATGTCAAACATTAAGCTATAAACTTACCAGTAAATTAACAAGCAAGGTGGCATTTAGACACTCACCTACATCAAATTGATTGTGTTTATAGACACAGGTTAATAACTTCTTTCGTGCCAACACATCTGTTAGCACATTTTGTATTTATTTTTTAACCGACAAGACAAACAATACTGCTATGTAATGAGTAGTAGCGTTGCCAACTGGCCAAATGTCTAATTTTCTAAACAAATGACAACTTACTAATACTACATGGAATTAATGGCATAAATTTTTTTTCGGACTTAAAAGTTAAACTAATTGTTATTTTGGTAATTTAGTTTCTAACTAATTTATACAGTTTCGTGAACTTCTTTTCCCTTGCTCTGACGTCTGATGTCAATTCATGTCAAATCAAATTCATAGAGATGTAAACCAGAGATATCTAAACCTTCTTAAATATATCTTGCACGAAGTCCTTGGCATACCTACGAAAAAGGCGGCAGCAGCCAAAAGATGGCGGCCACTACAAGGAGGGCACATAATAGTCAAAACCAAAAGGTATCGATTTCGATATCGGGTACATTTCTTTTGGTATATAATTTGTTTTAAGGCTACCGCTTTTTAATTACATTTCTGATTTCAAATTCTAATTACTTTTAAAATGTACTGGACTTGACAAACTAAATAAATGTTAGTTTCTTATTGATGTTTATTTAATAAAATCATCACTAACTTGAATTATCATCATATGTCAACAAATCATGATATCAATTTAGCAAAAAGCGTTAGCAGCGTCAGGCGAAAGATAAGGACGCCAGGGCGTCTCTCCATCCACTCCTCAAAGAGGGGTCTCACCACGTAGACCTGGTCAGCAGGGCCCGTCCTAAAAACAGCGTCTGCTTCCTTATTCTCCGCCACGGAGTCGTTCAAGCCCATAATGCGTAGCTCTAGGCACTTGATGGGCCTGGGCTGAGATTGGCCCCAATCGCAGTGACCTAAACTGCGAACCCATCAGGTGCCCCAAACTACTTGTGTGGTGTTACCACTCCCTATATAGTATGGCGAGGACGTTGCTATACATTAACCCCTTTTTAATCGCATTCGGCTGTAGTGTGATCATTACAGCCACAAAATTAAATGCGAGGAGGATTGCCACGGCTCTTTCTTATGGCGCTTCGTCACCTCCTTGGGAGACCCTTCACTCCCCGGCTACTTGCCATTCGCCACTGCTGGAAAGTGATCCCGGTAGTAGGGTCGGGACTTCAGCTTAGTAAGTCGCTGTGACCATTCGCTAGTAACAAGTCGGCGCTGAAGGCGCAACTGGAGCTTGCAACATAGGAGCTGCTGGTGCCTTTGCCGACAGAAGTGTAGACGCCCTGGCATGGGGGACATTCGCCGGTGCAACCTGTCCCGTCTTCGCCGCAGCCTTGACTTGGGCTCCGCAGCTTCATGACGGTTCAACCGCTGCGGCCGCTACCCTCCATCACGTCTAAACGCTGCTGGAAAGCGGCCATCTTCGACCGCATCAGACAATAAGATCAGCCTTAGCAGTTGCGAGGTTTAGACTTTAAGTCCAACGAGTATGGGGAAAATAAAATGTCCAGCCATGTACCCAGACAAAGTGTACATTTGTTTCCCAACTAGGGGGACCACCAGCTAGGGTGCACTCACAACTGATGCTACTTATCAGCTATACCCTGGCCGTGCACTAGACCTTAGTATTGGAGGATTTTTTATAAAGGCGATCTTCCTCCAAGACTCTCGCCCGGTCCGAGTCATTAAACATGACAACGATCTCTTCTCGGATTACAATAAAGATGGATGCAGTCGGGAAGAACAAGTGCCCCCACGCTGTTTGTTGGCAGAGAATCGTGCGGAAGAACGGCCTCACCGACGCATAGACCCTACACAGAGCCCGACCGGGTTCTCCTCCCGGGCAGAAGTAAGCTACGAGTACCATTCACTCCAACACCAACCCATTAGGAAGACTGTTACCCGCACCCAAGGCGTACTACGGGAAGGTTTTCTTACACGCACCCCAGCGTCGTTATGGTGGGGGTGACATAGACGTAAAAGAATAACAGATAAAACATAATATATTCAGTGAATGAGAATGGGAATAAAAAAACACACATACATGACTAAACTTTGTTTTGTATTTTTATAAAAGTTTGTCGGGTATAGGTCAACAAAACAATTCAATAATTATACTCTTCTTACAAATATTTCCCCAATACAAGTATTGTTTGCATATTCTTGCTTTTTGTACTCTTTAAATGATTAATAATTTAATAATACCCACTGTCAATCTGATGTTGTATTATCGAACAAATTGCCATAAATATAATTTGATGTTAAGACATTAATTATGTTCAAATTGTGAACAGGGAAAATTAAAGAGAATGAGGGAAAACCAACGAGTAAAGTAATAAAGTGGGAGGGGAAAATAAAAGCGAACGCTGGCAACACTTTGAATAAAAATTAAAGAAACTTCAGCATTATATTTAAGTAAAAATAAGATTTTTACATAATTATACCAATCACTGTGAATTATAAATATGTGCTATTACATTATGATGTTTTTCTGGTGACTAAATAACTTAAGATTCGTTTTGGCATTCAAGGACGCGTTCGGCACAACAAATCGATCTCATAACCAATATGGCGGCTTTACTATATTTTTCAAAAGTTGTTTACCAAGGTGTTTGTGTCCATAGTATTTATTATTTTAAAAAGTTATAGTAGCACAAATATTTTAGTGTTATTTTTATATGATTATGTCAAGTACATATGTTGACTCGTCAAATGAAAGGGAACCTTTTATTTTCTTTAATAACTCAAAAAATTGTGTTTTCCGTGTAGTTATTTGTGAAATTCAGTGTAGTGCCTATGATTTGTAGTGAAAACATAACGTTAATAACATACTCGATCGCGATGTCACAATATGAGCGCTCACGATGAGTCCGCCGCGCCACCCGCCCTCGGCAACTCTGTTCAATTCATGGTAAGAGCATCGTTTATTTACGATACAGTCATTTATTGTGATTTTAATAAATTTCGTCATAGTAGAATCCGTTCGCGAAATGCTATTTACACTAAAACCTAGGAATTCTGGTTTTGCACTAATTGAGGTTTTATTGCTTTTTGTTTTACAATGTCTGTCTGTTTTTCCTGTGAGGGTATGATTATCATAATTATGTTCGTTGTTCGTATATTTATGATCTTAATTCATACATCTTACACAATATTGTTAAACACAGGCTTGTATATGTATAATTAATGGGTTATGTTAACAACTGTAACATATTACAAACCTTAATTTAAACATCTTAAAACAAATTAAAACATGTATGTTCCTTTAATGATCAGCAGTGCGGGTTAATTCAACTATCATAAGGTTTTGCTTAATTTTAATGGATTGATTACTACTATAAGTTTCATCATGTCAATGTTATTGTTTAAGTTTTCTTCACTTAGGTATGAGCCAGAACCTTTTTCACACAGAAATAAATGGTCCCTGTTAATAATTGTAACTGCATAATATATATGAAGCTGCCTAAGTATTTACAGAGTCATGGTTTGTGTTTACAATATATCATTGGTTAATTCTATTACCTGCATTAATATCTAGAAATTGTCATTGCAAGATATTGGTGTCATAATTGAAAATCACTTTAAAACTTATATTTAAAAATTAAAGTATATTAAGTATTAACACCTTAAATGCCATGGGGTCACCAGTGACCTCCATTAGTAGAGAATTTGCCTTCAACAGTTTTCTGTCGACAGTCAAAGGTGAATTCAGAAAAAGAATTTCTATTGGACTTAAAAACCTAAAATAACAAAGGACAAAATATTCCTAATGTACTTACAACTGACTGGATGACATGAGTGTAACTCCAGCCCCCATGTCCTAACTGCAGACTACTGACAATCAACATCAACAAATCCAACAATAATCATCATATACTGAGAAGTGAAAATACTGTTCTTTTTTGAGTTTTCCATAGAAGTTATGGAATCTATACATCTTTACTCTATGCTGCTGTCCACTCGGTTGACTGCCATTTTGACTGTTGCGTGTAGTTTTGATGCATGTTTCACATGTTATCATGTTCTGATGCAGCAATTTATTTTAATTTTTGTTATCACCCTAAAACTCAATGAAAGCTTATTTTGCACAGTTGTTTTGGTAATGATTGTTTTTATTAATTTTGGAAAACTTCAATTTCCTAAATGTATGAAACCAATAAGCTGCAGGCGCGACACGTCACGGCCCGACACAGTAATATACTTCTGCCTTTATTGACCCACAAATCTAAGCACTGCGTTGCAGAATTTTTAAAAATCCTGCTATTAGAAAGGAAAAAAACCATCCACAAACAAACGAGACTCTCGAAGTTAGGGTAGAATTAACGTCATCATCATCAGCCTTCATGTGCACACTGCTGAGCAAAGGCCTCTTCTCATGCATAGAAAATAGTTTGATTTATTATTACATTAATCGCCACGCTTGCTCTAGCAAGGCATTAACACATTCAGTGCCCCCGACGCGTATGTGCGTTTCCTTACGCTACTCTGTGTGCCCTCGACGCACCTGTGCGTTCAATACATTAATGTATAGAACGCACAGGTGCGTCGAGGTACGTCGAGCACTGGATGTGTTAACAGTTTTAACTTTTTGAAATTATAAGTCCAGGTTTCTTCATATTTTCTTTCACCATATGTCAATGATGTCTAAATAATTATAGAAACTTCATATAACTCAGGAAAACTCACAATGGTACTTGCCAGGGTTCGAAACCGTATGTAGGCGCCTTAACCTCCGGGCCAGCAAGACAAGGCGGAGAAATATAACCGCTACGATAGCCTCAATACAATGAGTAAATCTAATTGCAATATGTGTTGGTTACAGGGGGTGGAGCGTGTCACCGGGTCGGGCGGCGGCGGGGCGAGCGCGCTCAATGGGGGCACGCCGCCCGCCGCCGGCGCGCCGCCCGAGCGCCACGAGGAGCCGCCTCGCAAGCGGGCCAAGCTGCCCGTCGACGATGTCGCCGTGCTGCGCCGCCGCGTCCTCGACTGCGAGCTCCAGCGTCTGAGGAACCTTCGTGATAGGTGAGCTACTTTTGCGGTCCCCGTTTGAGACCCGGCACGAACCTTTTTAGCGAAAGTACCACATTGAGTATATACATTCGTATATAATGTATATTCTCATTACATTTAAGCGCATTACCCATCACTGTTGATTGTCCGACTTTTTGACACCGAGAAAGATAAGTGGATTGCCATGAATAAAACCTAATCGTAGTCGCTTAGCTAATTTTAAGAAGCCAAGCTAAAAAATATATGGGGCATGAATTATTTATTTTTCTCTAAAGTTAACTCATACTTTCTAAATTACATATCTCCCCATGCATCGAGGTCTAATTCCCGGATATCCCACTGTCACTTCTGTTCTAGGTTCACGGAACAACTCAGCGAGCTGTACTTCCTGCAGGCGGGCGGCAATATGATGGACTACGCCGTCTGGCGCAAGCGGCCGCCGGCGCCGCAGCTGTCTGCCTTCATCGAGGCTCGGCGCCCACCCCCGCCGTCCGCCGCCGCGCCGCCGTCCCCGCCCGCCGCCAGCGCCGCGCCCGCCGCGGCGGCGGCGCCCGTGGCGGCGGCGGCGCCGGCGGCCGACGAGATGGTGGAGAAGGCCAAGCAGGAGGCGTACGTGGCGTCGCGCGTGGCCGAGCTGGCGCGCGCCGGCCTGTGGGCCGAGCGCCGCCTGCCGCGCGTCTTGGAGCCGCCGCGCGCCAAGTCGCACTGGGACTACTTGCTCGAGGAGATGGCGTGGCTGGCGCAAGACTTTGCGCATGAGCGCAAGTGGAAAAAACAAGCGGCTAAGAAGGTGACCATGACATGAAACCACATTCAATTAGAACATACCAAACAAATTAGTTAAAACAAATTAGTTGAGAAATTAGATTGAAAATACGCTGAGTGAGTCGTTATTACATGACATGTCGGCTGCACGACATCGCCGCGACGTGCATGGTGCTAATGAAGAAGACATCCATTGTAACTTGAAACTTGTAAACTAGACACAAATATGAAAGAATGGTATTAGCAAACAGCGCTTGGTTGGTGACCGATCTTAACTAACCCTATAATAATGTTATATATCAAAACTAAATGTGTGGGTCCCATTAAGTGCAAGTAGTTTCGCCTTACACTGTTCAAACTTATAAAAGTTTAAGACAGAATCGAGAAGCTTGTAAGAAATACTAAACCCGCAAAGATATTGCTAACAGCAGCGATTATGATTACAGTGTGCTCGAGCAGTTCAAAAGTACTTTCAAGATAAAGCTCTGGCTGCGCAGAAAGCTGAAAAAGCTCAAGAATTACAGTTGAAAAAAATTGCCGCCTTTGCAGCAAAAGAAATAAGAACTTTTTGGTCCAATGTTGAAAAGGTAAGTACCGGCTGCTGTACTGAAGGCCAGCATCGACAATTCCCTGGCGTCTAATAGAGTTCAAAATTTTTGTAAATATATTTGTATGAAGCAAAATAGTGGTCATTACGTAAATAGTCTGTCAGTCAGTATCATAAAAAAATATATGTTCCAGCAAATTTAAAATTTAATTATGAATTCAAATAAAAAATTATAACCAGCTTCGGTGGTAAGGCACATCTTTCAAGTTTTATGTATATTTATACTTCTTTTATTCATTATACATAAGCAATCAAGCAGACATACATATTACCTGATAGTAAGCAATAGGCGCCGCCCATGGACACTCGTAATACTAAAAGAGTTACTACAAGTGCGTTGTTGTACTCGTTTGTTAGGGGCTTACCGGTAAGGGATTTGAGGATGGTAGATGAGAGAGATATGAAGATGATGGAGGAGAGAGAGCGTGATAGAGTAAAAAAGGTTAACGTGTGTGCAGTTGGTGGAGTGGAAGCGAGTGCGGCGCGTGGAGCGCGCGCGCAAGGCGGCGCTGGACGAGCAGCTCAGCTACCTCGTCGACCGCACCGAGCGCTACTCGCGCCAGCTCGCCGCCAACCTCTCGCACGCCGCCCACGCCGCCCACGCCGCGCCCCTCGACGACGACTTCACGCCGCGCGACTGCTCTGACGACGACGAGGAGACCATCGCCGCGGCCGAGGCTGGCGTGCAGCCCGCCGACCACCGTGACGAGCTCGAAGCGCTCCGGCGTGACTCGTGTCAGCCGCTAGGTGAACTGTTACCGCCCGGTTATCTCCCCGCTATCTCTCCGCCGCCCTCGGACTACGGGCCCGACGCCGACGATTCGGAAGACGACGAGCGCACCATCGCAGAACAAGAGAGCCACGAACCGGCCGAAGACGCGGCCGACGAGCTGGCGGCCCTCCATCGAGACGCCGATCTCGCCATCGACGAGTTGCGACGCCGTTATGCGCCGCGCGACGACGGCCCCGACGGCGACGCGTCGGAAACGGACGGCGAAGCCGACGAGGACGACGCGGACGACGACGGCGACGAAGAACAGGAGGACGACGAAAGCGAAGACGAGTCCGAGGCGAGCTCGTCAAGCGCAGCATCGGAAGGCATGGAGGCGCTGATCGAAGAGACGGAGGCGGCGGGCGCGGCGGAGGCGGGCGCGGCGGCGGCGGAGGCGGGCGGGTCGGAGCGGCGCGTGGAGGCGGCGGCCGTGCTGGCGGCGTCGCTGCAGCCGACGGGCACGACGCTGTCGGAGACGGCCGTGGCCACGCGCGTGCCGCGGCTGCTGCGCCACGCGCTGCGCGAGTACCAGCACGTGGGGCTGCACTGGCTCGCCACCATGTACGCGCGCGGCCTCAACGGCATCCTGGCCGACGAGATGGGGCTGGGCAAGACGGTGCAGACCATCGCGCTGCTGGCGCATCTGGCGCTCGAGCGCGCCGACTGGGGCCCGCATCTGGTCGTGGCGCCCACTTCCGTCGTGCTCAATTGGGAGATGGAGTTCAAGAAGTGGTGCCCCGCCTTCAAGATCCTCACTTACTACGGCACCATCAAAGAGCGTAAAATGAAACGTGTCGGGTGGACTAAAGCTAATTCGTTCCATGTGTGTATAACCTCGTATAAACTTGTAGTGCAGGACCATCAAAGTTTTCGAAGGAAAAGGTGGAAATATCTTATTCTCGATGAAGCACAGAATATTAAAAACTTTAAATCTCAAAGGTGGCAGATGCTATTAAACTTTCAAACAGAAAGGTAAGTCGTATGAAAGACAAATTCACCAAAACTCGTGTTTTACAGAAGTGAAGTAATTTTGTCTTTACTTTTTAACAAATGCTGGCGGTAATATATAAAAGTAAGGTATCAAAGACGGAGGTTGGCCCGCAGACGCCTGCTCCTGACGGGCACGCCGCTGCAGAACTCGCTGCTGGAGCTGTGGTCGCTGATGCACTTCCTGATGCCGGACGTGTTCGCGTCGCACTCGGAGTTCCGCGAGTGGTTCGGCGGCGTGGGCGGCATCGCGGCCGGCAGCGCGCGCTACGACGAGGCGCTGGTGCGGCGCCTGCACGAGGTGCTGCGCCCCTTCCTGCTGCGCCGCCTCAAGCAGGACGTCGAGCGCCAGATGCCGCGCAAGTACGAGCACGTGCTGCTCTGCCGCCTCGCCAAGCGCCAGCGCTTCCTCTACGACGACTTCATGTCGCGCGCCAAGTCAGTATCTCACCTCTCTTTTCCCAACTACTTTATATAAAATTGTTTGAAATTATATGTTCATTATTAAAAGATTACAAAACCATTTGGTGGCTGAGCTATTATTTCCAAGTTTGATTTGTAACACAGAACAGAAAATAAAGTAGAAGTGCCCCTACACTCTTGCAAAAGGAAAACCAGTGTCGCCAAAATCACACATTCGCAAATCAAATTGTCTATTACACACATAAAAACAGCTATATAATAGGGTAAAAAGTTGAAATGCAACTTTAGCAAATCATTTTCTAAATGTTGTTAAAAATTGAGTCTTATTAACAATGAGCGAAAGTTATCATTTCACATGTCACAATCAATAAAGGCGTCTATCGTGTAAAAAACAATTTACAACGGGTTCAGCCACTCAATGCTAAATGGTGCTGTAACAAATTCATTCTATTCAAAACGCTAACCTCTTTGAAATAGATGTCATATTTGTATGCACTTGTACCAATAGACGTTACTATTTTGCTACTCAGATTCAATTCAATTCAATTCTATATTTGCATTCCATATGTTATACAGGTGATATTTTATAAAGTTGACACAATACAGGGTGTAAGGGACAGCCTTCCGCAAACTGATAGGGTGGATTCAGTATATCGTCTTAAGTTGACCGGTACATGAAATTATTTCAGGAACGTTATGGGAATCCAATTAAACCGATTTGTTTCATTACCTTACACGCAATGTATCGCTACCACCGCAAACGCACGCAGCGAACGGCAGCGCTTTTAGTATTATTACTTTACACTATGGGCAGCGCCGCGACCTTACCTTTCGGACAAACGGTCGCGCTCGCGCCACGTTTTTATAACAATAAATTATTATTTAAAAGATAGCCTCATTACTTACAAAAGAAAATCTAACAATCATAACATGGTAACTGATAAATGATAAAAAAAGAAAAATGCGTAGGTACCTTAGAATCGCTCCGGTTTCCGGCTCTGGAAAGCATTTGTGATACGGTCTCGCATTTCGTACTCACTTGCACACGCACTCACAAACACTTTTTCTTTTACATAACCCCACAAAAAGGGGTCCAAATGGGTTAGGTCTGGGGATCGTGCTGGCCACGGTTGCGGTCCAAACCTACCTAAACTACGTTTAAATAGGAAAGCACTGGTAAGTGGTAGCCTCTCGTTACGTTAGCGAACCAATTCCAAAATCCACGTAGGTATTGGTCTTCCGGCGCCTTTTTGTCTGGGAACAATGGGCTGGTTTTCTAGCAAGCGTTGATAGGCCCCAGTAATTATCCTGGAGTCTGATGGATACCGACGGTCAGGATACCTACATTACTACACATTATCATCTCCCCATAATCACGCGCGCTAAACGTACCTAGGTAGTAATTTCGCACAATTTCTACAACAAAACTTCACTACACTTCACACACTACATAACTAATAAAACTTAACAACACTACTTATAACAAAACTTTTAAGCCGAATGCGCGGGCGATCCGTACCGACACACGCTCGCGGTACACAAACAGTACCTACATCGCAGCAAGGCACAATGGCGACTGCATGTGATGAGACACACACAAACATAAATCTGTTGTTGCCAATTACACGAAAATTACAAAATTTCGGGGAAAAAATAAAAAATTATGCATGGTCGTAATTTATCATTCTGTTATTTTTTGTAGAGAAATGAATTGATTAAATCAATTTAATTCCAATTTCATTGTTTAGTAAATTTCATTGTTTAGACACAAACTTAAATTGTAAATCGCACGTACAAAAATTTAAATCAAAATTATCAAAATTTCTATATGCTCTACGTGAAATTAAGAAGACAACAGACTTAAAAACGGCTCTAATTACATACTACGCCTATGCGCATGCATGGCTAAACTACGGCATAATAATGTGGGGAAATAGCACCGACGCACCAGCCCTATTCACATCGCAAAAAAAAACTATTTCGAACAATAGTTAACATAGAACAAACGGAAAGTTGCAAACCACCATTTCATAAAGTTAAATATCCTTAACATATCTTCATTATACATACTGGAAATCTGCACGCATACAGACAAAATACACACTTGGACACAAAACACGCCTAAACTTAGCATCATCCCGATTACAAATACACTCATCAAGTCCACTAGTCATGTCTATAAAAATTTACAATAAACTACCCGAAACACTGAAAAACGAAAAAAAGACACATTTATTTGCCAACAAACTAAAAAAACTCCTTCTAAGCAAATGCTACTATAGTGTCAATGAATATCTGGACGATAAAAAGAATTAATTAATATATAAATAATTAGATATAAATGCCTATTATTGTAACTAATTATGTGTAATGTTACTAAACTTATGTATGCCTTCTTTTGCTATCAGGGTCCATAATATGTTCGTAGATTTAAGCTCTTTACATCTTTGTAACATTATGGTATGCAAATAAATAAATATGAAATATGAAACATTTCAACAGTAGTGTCGAAACTACTGGAATGTATTGTATATAACGTCACATAACGAACAAGTAGATATAAACTTAATTGTAATGAAAATAAGGCCCTTTATAGTTTGCATTGAAGTAATGAAATGTGATATTTTCATTAAAATCAAATATATTTAAAATTAACAAAGGTTAATACTTACTCAACGATGATATGATACACCATCAAAAGACACATTTTTTTTTCTGCTTACTTTTTTGCAATTCAAAACCGCACAACAAGGCATAATTTCTAATATGTTTCGTGTTTCTTATAGACAACCAATCATGACAACGGAGCGAACGATTCTGACAGTGAATGTGCTAAAATGTTGTAAATCTACACATCCTGTTGACTAGCGCGCGATGTCTGAGTGGCACTTCCACTGTATTTTCTATTCCGTAATAAATTTCCGTAATAAAATGCAACTTCAACAATGACGGAAATTCTAGTGTGAAGCAAAAATTAAAAATTCATTATTTATTCCCATAACGCACGTCGAACTCTTTTTCAGACAGTCAATGTCAATGATTGTTTCCTTTATTGCAACAGGACCAAGGAGAGTCTAGCGTCTGGTCATCTGCTCAGCGTTATCAACGTGCTGATGCAGTTACGGAAGGTGTGCAACCACCCCGACCTGTTCGAGCCGCGCCCCGTGTCCTCCCCGCTGCAGCTGGCCGGCCTCCGACTGCACGCGCCCGCGCTCGTGCTGGCCACCGGCCTGCCGCAGCGCGCCGCCCTCGCCGCGCGCCTCGGCGGGGACCTCGCCTCGCTCGAGGCCGAAGGTGCCGGCGCATTCGCCGCGCACCGCGCCCGCCACTTGGCTCCACCTCGGCGCCTCGTGGAGGAGCTGGGCGCCGCGCCGCAGCGGGCCGCGCCGCGCCCTCCGCCCGCCGGCCTGCGCCTGCACCTGCGCCTCGTGCCGCGCGCCGCGCCGCCCGACGCGGCCGCGCCCGCCCCGCCGCCCACGCTGCTGCCGCGCCCGCGCACGGCCCCGCCGCCGCCGCCCGCGCCGCCCGCGCCCCCTGCGCCGCCGGCGACGGGAGCGCGCGCGCGCCTGGAGGCTCGCCGGCGGGCGTGCTTGCGGCGCCTGGCGGCCAGCAACGAGCGTCGCTGCTGGCGCCTGCCGCTGTACGGCAGCGACCTGCGCGGCGCCGTGCAGGCGGGCGGGCCGGCGCTGGCGGCGCGCTCGCTGGCGGCGACGCTGGAACAGCTGCAGCCGCAGCTGGAGCGGTTCTGCCTGTGCGTGACGGCGGCGCGCGCGCCCGCGCCGCAGCTGCAGCTGGGCGGCGGCGCGGCGGCGCGCGACTGGCGGCGCCGCGCCCAGCGCCTCGAGGACGCGGCCGGCCCGGCGGCGCGCCGCGCGCTGGCGCTGTTCCACGTGGCGGCGTCGCGCCAGGCCGTGGCCTTCCCGCACCCGTCGCTGCTGCAGTACGACTGTGGTGAGTGCCACACTAGCACACACTTACCTATCTGCTTTCGATTTTGTCGACTTAAAACTAAACTAAAAGGTTTGAATTATGTATTCCAGTTGAAAAAATGAAATTTCTGTAAAAAAGATAACGTTTTAAACCTAAAATGTATCAAAACTAAAGGCATGAATACAAAATAAAAATAAATTAAAATACCATTAATACTGTAAAATTTTAAAATATGTAACAAAACAAGCAAATAACTGTCAAACACAAAATTTATATCTTCTCAAATTTAAGTGTGGGAGAGCCATGCTTCGGCACGAATGGGTCGGCTCGACCAGAATGAAACCACGGCCTCAAAGAAAACCGGCGTGAAACAACCACAGCGTTGTGTTTCGCCGTATGGGTGAGGTTACCGGAGGCCCAAAAATGTAATGCCAACAAAACTAATGTGACATGGGCATTTTGTAAAAGACAAACACAAACTGACAAAATAATGTTCTCTTCAGTCTACAGTAGACTACATAATACAAAATAACAACATTATAAAATCACCTACCCAGTTAGCTATACTCTTAATTTTAATTCCATTCCAGATTTGACAATTTCAGTATTGCAACGTTATGACACGTACTAAATAGTGACGTTCCGAAATTATTCGATATGGAAATCGAATATTTCTGAATCGACAAACATGACTGTCTTACTAGACATAGAAATAGGTTAAGTCAGCCTTTATTTAGATTAGCAAAAGTGCATAAGTCGTTAATGGGATTATGTGTTAAATGTTATAATAAAATCCCAACTGAAATACAAAATCTTAATGAAAGTAAATTTAAATTATGTATTTTAAAGAAAGTATTATGTAGGAAAGCATACTACAAACTAAATGATTATATAGAAGATAAAAATGCTTGGAGGGTGGCTGGTTTGATCGCACAGGATAAAAAAATGTTAAGGTTAAGAGGAATTTTGATCTCAATAATTAAATTATTCACCATGTTGTTAATTGTTGATAAACTGGATTTTTGTAAATGTGAGAGCCCTGTAACTTATTATTATTGAGTTAGACTTATAGACTTATAGTATATTGGTACTTGTGTCAGTTGGGAGTTGTCATGCTCACTCAGGAGTCTCATTGGCGGTGGCACGGGCACTGGACCGCTCGGTTCCCTATAATATGGTTGAGTTGGGCGGTGCTGGTGTACGTGTCATGTTCGTGAACGGACGCCGCCTATTGGGACTGGTCAACTCGAGACTGTCTAAAGTTGCTGTCCCTGAGGTTCATTTCTTTTTCGGATCCCTTGGTTAAACACTAGTGTTACACTGTTCTCACATAATAGAACTATCTAAATTATGTAACAATGCATTGTAAAAAGTGATTGAAAAAGAGTAACCATGGAGTTTCTTGCTCATTCTTCTCCATAGGAATCTACACTTTGGAACAAGCAAATAGCTTCACTAGAGGACAGACAGACAGACTGACACAATATATAAAGTTAAACCTTATGATATCTTTTTTGCTTGACATTCAAAAGTGCCTTTTTTGGTCTATTTGAAATAAAGAATTTGATTTGATTTACTAACTTTTAAACTTTCGCGTTTCATCTTAACAACATTATATTTACGCGGGTATTAACGCGGAAAATTATAATTTGAATACCTTGGTAGGCTTGACGTTTCGACCCGGTTACACAGGTCGTGGTCACAAGCAGACTGAAGACGCGATGTCACAGCTCCCTGCATTCGGGTGATGAATCTTCATCTACCCCCTTATTTTCATTTTCTACCATATTAGGCCGTCTACACACTACGCTGATTATATCCACAGATGTGTGTATCATGATGTGTAATCAGATAATAAGCACTCTTAAAGATTGCGTACTCACAATCTTTAAGAGTGCTTCTATATAAACTTTTTGGATATATAAATTAAGGATGCATTATTTTTGAGAATTTTACCTAACTGCTGACTATATTTGAGTATTGTCCAGTGGAGCCGAATTAACACGCTGCCAGGCATTCTTATCCTCAATATAATCTGAAAGTTTGTAGTATGCCTGTCTACACAATTCGCGTTTAATATAAGTTTTAAATTTTCGTTCGTTAAGATTCAATACAGTACTTGGAATTTTATTGTAACAATTTACACAGAACCCCATAAAGGATTTCTGTACCTTGGACAGACGGAATCGTGGCACAGCCAGCCTATCTTTGCCTCTTGTATTAAAATTATGTCTATCGCTTCTTTTTTCAAATAATTGCAAATTTTTCCTTACATACATAATATTTTCATATATAAACTGACAAAGCACCGTCAGGATATTTATCGTTTTAAATAGTTCTCTCAGAGATTCGCGACGGGGCAAGTTATATATCGCTCGGATAGCCCGCTTTTGTAGAATAAATATTGATTCTACTTCCGCAGCTCGACCCCACAGCAAAATTCCGTACGACATAATGCTGTGAAAATAGCTAAAATAGACAAGCCTTGCTGTGTTCACGTCTGTAAGCTGTCTTATCTGTCTAACTGCAAAAAAACAGTTTGCCGATGATGCAACTATATTTATCTCAAATGATGATGCCGATTGTATTAATTACGGAAATGAAATAAACAGAACCGTAGCTACAATAACTGATTGGTTGTAGTCACTAAATTGAAATTGCCACCCGGTTTCTGAAAGGCCACGCAACACTAAAATTAACTAATCTCCAGTCAACCAATCAGATGACTTGACAAGAGATTAAATTGATTTTAACATTGATCGGCCTTTCGGAAACCGTGCGTAAATCTTTCAAATACTAAATTAGTCCAATTAGTGAATTACAAGAGTAAACCTATAAAACTAAATATTTATTTATTAACCATTGAAGATGATCAACATTTGAAAGAGAAAGAGCATTTTGCGAAAATAATTAAAAAAATATCTAGTGCTTGTCTATCTTGGCAGAAACTACAAATGTTGATATCACTAAAAATGCCTATTACGGAAATGTTTATTCCATTTTAACTTTGATATTATTCACTAGGGGAACTCAACAAACGTACATTATACTTTCATTTTTCAGAAAAAATGTATAAAAACTATATATCATGCATAGTACTGAGTAAAAGGGGTCCTAACACTGACTGGAATCTACATACTGGAATTGTGTTTGTTTGTCAAAACCAATATGCAATATTTTGATTTCAAATGTGACTCAAATAGAAATGTTTGTGCACAATATAAATAAAATATTAATTTGCCTTGTATAAAGAATATGATTTATTATAAAAGTACATAAATATATTACTGCTATTTGTGTATACAACCAACTGCCAACAGTAATTATGTGAAAATATCTTTAAAACAAATTTAAATACATTTTTGATTGATAATGTTTTTATAACTTGAATGAATAGTTTGCTATAAAGTAGTAGAATTCAGAAATGACATGTTTTTTTTATTCCAATTAATATTGCATGTCCGACTTGGACAGATTGTTGACTGTTACGCAATAAATTAATCTTATTTAATCCAAATTTTGAAAATTTCCTGTTCATGTACAATATCAATATATCTCTTGCAGGGAAACTACAAACACTGGATGGACTACTGCGGCGATTGAAAGCAGGCGGGCATCGTGTGCTCATCTTCACGCAAATGACGCGAGTCCTCGACGTATTGGAAGCTTTCTTGTCAATGCACGGCCACGCCTATCTTCGATTAGATGGAGCCACGCGCGTAGACCGACGTCAACCTCTCGTAGACCGTTTCAATGCCGATCCCCGTGTATTCGCATTTATTTTATCTACACGAAGCGGCGGCGTGGGTCTCAATCTGACCGGCGCAGATTCAGTCATATTCTACGATTCGGACTGGAACCCCACCATGGACGCTCAGGCACAAGACCGCTGTCACCGCATCGGCCAGACGCGCGACGTCCACGTCTACCGCCTCGTCACCGCCGCCACCGTCGAGGAGAACATCCTGCGCAAAGCCGAGCAGAAACGAGCGCTCGGTCACCTCGCCATCGAAGATGGACACTTCACTACCTCTTACCTGCGCGGGGTCAGTCATCCATAACACCGATACATAGCCTTCTATTCATTGAAAATGTCATAACATTATATGTTTTCTGTGCTATAGGCAAACATCAAGGAATTGTTCAACTCGGGGAGTGACAATATGGAAACTGAAACACAAAATAACTCTGAAGAAGCCGAGGCTAGTGTCGGCGGCGAGCTCGAATCGGCGCTGGCCGCCGCCGAGGACGAGGCCGACGCGGCGGCCGCCAGCGCGGCGCGCGCCGAGGCGCAGGGCGAGCTCGCCGAGTTCGACGAGACGCTGCCGCTCGACGACGAGCCTCGCGCCCCCGCGCCGCGCACCGACCCCGACGACCTCGCCACGCTCATGAACCAGGTCAGCGCGCCGCTGCTACTGTGTTCTTCTCATTTTGTATCTTGTCGTATTTAATTTTATAACTTGAAAGTTCAGTCACTATTTTTTTCTGGTTACTGATCGTCTACATCGCATCGTCCTCCGCAGCTCACGCCCATAGAGAAGTACGCCATGCGCCTCGTGGAGAGCAGCGAGGCAGCCAGCGAGGCAGAGCGCGCTGCGCTGAGCGAGATGCGGCGCCAGCTGCACGAGTGGGAGAACGCGCGCCGCCAGCTGCGCAGCGAGCCCGCCGCCGCGCCGCCGCCCGCCGCCGCGCCGCAGCCCGACCTCACCTACAGCCGCGGGGACGCGCGCGCCAAGGTGCGTGCAAGGCGGCGCCGCGCGCCCGCGCCCCCGCCACCGCCGTCGCCGCCGCCCTCGCCCCCCGCGCCCGCGCCCCCCGCGCAGCCCACGGCCCGCACGCGGTCTCGCGGCACCGTGCACATTAACCTGTGGACGCTGGACGAGCGAGGGGGCGGGGCGGGGGGCGGGGCGGCGGGGGCGAGGCGCCGCCCCCTGCGTAACGGCACGCTGGACGCTTGGCTCGCCAACGCGCCCTCCCGCTCTCACAAAGATAACGATAATAAATGATTTTGAGATACTGTACGTGCGTTTTATATTTCTGACGTTCGACGTTTCGGTGCCGCTCGATATTCGTCCGTAAATGCTTGATCTGTCCCCGAGTCGGCGATATTTGCTCGTGATCGGCGAAACTGCGGCACCGATCCTAACGTCAGGGATATATGGCGTACAAGCATTTACGGGCGAATCGAGTCGACCGCGACGCGACGCCCTAACATTTCCCGTAATTATGCGACAGAAGCCATCAATATCCCAAAATGTATTGGTTTCTACATATACGTATGTACGTTGTAATTATATTCTAATGTTGTCTTTGGTCACGTAGGTAGGTAAAATCAATCAGGTGACCTGGAGTATAAAATAAGATACTGTATAAATAATACAAGCACAACTTCTTTTAAGGAATCGCATATTATTCGTAATAATTAAATTAATCCTTTCTTTGATGTCGCAAAAGAATGATTTAAACAAAAGTTTCTCCAAGAACAAGTGTGATAGAGATAGATAGTTCAGGTTATTTTTAAGAGACGTGGAATCCAGTGATTCGCATAACACAACCTCGCTTTTTTCCTTCAAAGTCGGTTGACACATCTGTGGATACCTATGGTGGTAAATCGGCAAGGGCAGAGCTCGTGGGCTGTGGCCCCGCGCTTCGTCCCTCTACGTTCCTTAATCAAAAATTGTGTGCTGCGCAGTGAAACGAACGATGTTCAGAACCGCCATTAAGATTGAATCGTACTATATCTAAGCACCTCACTTGGATTTTTTCCAAGTGACGTGTTCTACTATTTCTACAAAATATAACTATGATGTTACAATATAAAAAGGTTTGTTAAGAATGAAAACCTCTGTAGGTAATCTAGCGTTGGTGTACTGGATTTCATTGTTTACTCTAAACAATTTAAAAATGGTACAATATTATCAAAGTCAAAGTCAAAATCATTTCTTCCAACTAAACCATAAAAAGGTACTTTTGAAACGTCAAAATAGAATAGTAGTCTGTCAGTCTGTTCATCAGTGAAGCTAGGTGCTCGTTCCAAATTGTAGTTTCGAATGGAGATGAAGGAGCAAGAAACTCCGCGTGCGTTCGTGCAGCGGAATGTTGTTGAATTTAAAGATTTTAATTATGCAGATATTTAGTGTATGACGTCGTTTAATTGTGTATGGTAAAAAAAAAACTGATTCCGCTGGGCGAACGTTGTCCTGGCGGAACTTTTTTTAATCCATAGACTTTAGAAAGAAAAGACATGTATCCAAAAATTAGTGTGTATTTGTGTGTAATTATGTATGTATGAATAAAACTAGTGCATGCATAAACTTCGGAGAAATTCAAGTTTCCGCTAGGCGAAAGTTTGGCCATTAGCTAGTTTTCATATAAAGCGCTTACATAGAGAGCTGTAGATTTTTACATACGTTGTTTTGAATTTGTTTAAAAAACAGATTTAGAAAAAATCGTAGGGTTTAAAAGATAAAAATATAAACGTAAAATACGCTTATTAGGTCTTAGTTCTTAAAGTATGCACTTTGGGGTCTAGATTTTCACGTTTATACAAACCTTGTAAGTGTCTGCAACATGTTGCCAAGTATCAATGATGTTCCGTTAGTAATTAAATAGTTAAAGGACAAATTTACCATGAATAGATCACTGTTTACAAAGCAGTCAAATAACACGACTTTCTAAATGAATTGCATGGTAAAATGTATGCCAATAATTAGTGTATTCATTCAACTATTCACATGCAAAATTTCATGTCATTAAATTCAGTAATTAAAGAAAAACAATTGTTATTTGACTGCTTTGTAAACAGTGATCTATTCATGGTAAATGCGAACGGCAGGCTTGTATGGGAGTCCTGTACCGCTAATAATTTTTCGTGTTTTGGGATACTTTTTGGTTTAATTGGTAGTTAATATGATAAACAAGCCCTGTTTAAAATGTCGGATTTTTAAAACTTGGGACATAAGAGTTATAGCTAGTTTTATTTTTAAAGGTTATGTACTAGCTTAGATTAGAGTATTAGCTTAGATTGTTATTTTTATTTGAAGGTACATAAACATTATCTTGGTGATTCAAATTTTTGCTATACGGTTGCGAACTAGTGTTACAACCATGATAGCAAGAGGTGCGTTTCCCCAACGACCGTACGTGATGGCGCGTGGTTAACATCCACGGCAAAAACCTAACACACAAAATAAGGTCATCTTTGTTGAAACGCTAGTTTTCATCCATCCAGTCACTCAATAATGAAGTATTAAGTGTGGTTTAGACTACAGGTATATAAAAAAATATTTTAGGTTACGTTTAATATATAGACGTCTTTAATTATGTTACTTGTTATTCTCACTTCTAAATAATTATTTATAATTCCGATATTTGTCTTATTTTACAATGGCAACTTCTCAAAACATGACTGCGTTCAGTTTTTACGATTTTAGTGCGCTTGTTTATTGAAATCTTTTTATTGATATTTATAATTAATCCCAGCTTCTAAAAATAGAACAATTACATAAAAATTAATAGCTTAGCTGCCTTAATAAGTAGTACAAATTCTAATACATAACATTACAAAAAGTATGCTGTACAGGGCCTGCCGTTCGCCTTTGTCCTATAACTATTTAATTACTAACGGAACATCATTGATACTTGGCAACATGTTGCAGACACTTACAAGGTTTGTATAAACGTGAAAATCTAGACCCAAAAGTGCATACTTTAAGAACTAAGACCTAATAAGCGTATTTTACGTTTATATTTTTATCTTTTAAACCCTACGATTTTTTCTAAATCTGTTTTTTAAACAAATATAAACAAATTCAAAACAACGTATGTAAAAATCTACAGCTCTCTATGTAAGCGCTTTATATGAAAACTAGCTAATGGCCAAACGTTCGCCTAGCGGAAACTTGAATTTCTCCGAATTTATGCATGCACTAGTTTTATTCATACATACACAATTACACACAAATACACACTAATTTTTGGATACATCTCTTTTCTTCTAAAGTCTATGGATTAAAAAAAGTTCCGCCAGGACAACGTTCGCCCAGCGGAATCAGTTTTTGGTGAATTTCTCCACAATGGTTGCGTGCACAAATTCTTTTTTACCATACACAATTAAACGACGTAATACACTAAATATCTGCATAATTAAAATCTTTAAATTCAACAACATTCCGCTGCACGAACGCACGCAGAAACTCCATCGTTTCTCTTTTAAAAAAAATATTTCTTTTACAATTTCACTAATATAACATTGTACCCTTTGTGAAAACAATGCAGAGACAAGTTGTAAATAAAATACTACGTACGTTGACTATATTTGAGTTTTGTCCAGTGGAGCCGAATCAACACGCTGCCAGGCATTCTTATACTCAATATAATCTGAAAGTTTGTAGTATGCCTGTCTAAACAATTCGCGTATAATATAAGTTTTAAATTTTCGTTCCTTAAGATTCAATAAACTACTTGGAATTTTATTGTAACAATTTACACAGAACCCCGTAAGGGATTTCTGTACTTTGGACAGACGGAATCGTGGCACAGCCAGCTTATCTTTGCCTCTTGTATTAAAATTGTATCTATAGCTTTTTTTTCAAAACATTGCTAATTTTCCTCACGTCCATAATATTTTCATATATAGGTATAAACTGACAAGGCACCGTTAGGATATTTATCGTTTTAAATGGTTCTCTCAGAGATTCGCGACGGGGCAAGTTATATATCGCTCGGATAGCCCGCTTTTGTAGAATAAATATTGATTCTACTTCCGCAGCTCGACCCCACAGCAAAATTCCGTACGACATAATGCTGTGAAAATAGCTAAAATCTGTCTGTCTGTGAGCTGTCTGATCTGTCTAACTGCAAAAACAGCAGAGCTTAGTCTCCCCGAAAGCGTCTTCATGTGGGAACCCCATTTAAGTTTATTATCTAGTGTGATACCTAGGAACACTGTCGTGTATCGACTTTATTGACATTATTTTTATTACCCGATTTATACGAGTTATGCGGCGTCTCTACTATTGTGGCTAGTTCTAAAATTGCTACTTTTTATAATATATGATTAAAGTCAAAAATCGCATAAACTATTTTTGAATCTTGTTTCAATAGTAGATTATTTTTATATCACTTGTAGACAAAGAATTCGAAAAGATTCGGTACTATATCTACTTAAAATTTTTGACACTATTATAGCTTTATTTAACTCCAAGTCACACATACACCTGATAAGTATTTTCAGTTCACTGCTGATTTCTACAATACACATAGGTAAATAAGTATTTCGTAAACGGGTTGGCACAGAATATATTCTAAAACAAAATAATATGCCAATGATGTCATGCTCAAAATGATAAGCAATAGAGTCCTAACACTTTAGTGTCAATATACAAGTGACAATACTTAAAATCTTAGGTCTTGAAGTCCATGTTCCTAATGTGTTCCATATTTTTGAATACTTACAGCGCTTTGATAGCATTCACAGTCAAACTGTACCTATATTTGTGACGCTTTGCGTGAACCTACAATTCTTACAATAAAACGAAAGGCTTTCTGTGACGTCACTAACAATTGAAAACGGTAGAAATATTAACTTGGTGGGCTAGTTGTTTTTGTTATTTTTCCTGCAATATAGGTATATGGGTATCAAATGATATTATTGCTGAATATTGTGTTAGTAGGAGCACATTATAGAAATATTATAATCTATTGCCAAATAAAAAAGTAGATATTTTATGTGATGACTTGATAGGTAGTGTCACTGCGAAAAATATAATTCTTGCGTTTCGCACACTGGAGCCAAAGGAAAACCTGTATATTTCGTTATAATGCTTCATCTACAGCATATTTTTAATATTACTGATATAGTTTTAATTTAGACAACCTCTTGATACATTTTCTGTCCACAACTGTTTGACTAGATATAAATTGTGGTGAAGTACTGCAGAGTTGCGAGAGAGGGGACACTTTGAAAAGTTTGTTAATGGCTTCCAGGGGTGTGTGTGACAAAACTTTTATTTTATTATATTCTATGGAACATTTTGAATCAGATAAATTGAGAGTCATTAGCACGAATGGATTTATTAGACCGGAATGATATAAAGTCTCTCAGAATACTTGCATGCATCTTATTTAACGACGCTTTTAATATATTATGCTTACAACTATTACACATTAGTCTACAATTGTTGAAGACACATAGTTTACGGGAGTATGGCAAAATTGTGTTCATACATATTGAGTAAAGTAAATGTTGAAAATATAGTGCAGTCAAATAGTTCCTTCATTGAGCAAACCTACTTAATGTAGAAATATTTTATTTCAGGTCTGGGTGAGCAGTACTGGGTCTATGGAACGAATGCCGGTAATACATTTATGTATTTGTGCTTAAAATGGCAAAAACGTTTGTTTTAATAGCTTGGCCCATTGTTTTAGAAATGACTTTATCAGAAGTGGGTGTGTCTATTTCGTAGATGTGGTGTCCGCCCACGCCCCCGTCCGGCGACGGCGACGTGTACTGCGACAGCTGGGCGCGCGCCCTGTACCGGCGCGGGCCCGCGCCCGACTCCGCGCTGCCCGCCGTCCATCGCCGCGAGCCCCGCGCCCGCGAGCCGCGCCGCCTCCGCGCCCCGCCGCGCGCCACGCACGCGCCGCCCTCGCTGTTCGAGCGCGCCGGCCCGCGCCCCCGCGCCCGCGCCCGCGCCCCGCCGCCCCACCCGCCCGGCGGCCACGCGCCGCAGCCCGACTGGGCCGCCAGCGAGGACGCCGCGCTGCGCCGCGCGCTGCGCCTGCAGCGCCTGCCGGCCGAGCCGCCCGCCGCGCTGCAGCCCAACTGGGACTGGGTGGCCGAGCTGGTGGGCGGCGCGGCGCGCGCCTACCGGTCGCCGCGCGCCTGCCGCGACCGCCACGACGCGCTGGCCGACCCCGACCGCGCGCGCCGCCGCCACCGCCGCCCGCCCGCCGCGCGCCGCCGCCTCGACGACGACGCGCCGCGCCCGCCGCTGGCGCGCCTCGACGCCATGCGCGACGCCACCGAGCGGCGCCGCGCGCAGCCCAAGCGGCGCCACGACGAGCAGACTCCGCACAACCCCAAGCACGCCGCGCTGCTGCACGAGCACGGCGTGGACTACGACACGCCGCCCACGCCCATGGACGTCGCCACGCGCCGCGCCGAGCGGATCGCCAAGGAGAAACTCAAGGCGGGCAGCGCGGCCGCCGCGCCCGCCGCGCCGCCCGCGCCGCAACGCATCGTCGTGGCCGCGCCCGCCGCCAAGGCGGAAGCGCGCCGGGTCCGCCCGTCCGCCGAAGGGGCGCGGCCCCCGGGCACAGCCCCTGTTCCAGGGGGCGCAGCCGCGCAGACTCAGTTGTTGTATCGTCAGCAGACTTTCCCTACTCGTCATCTCAAAATACTACATCAGACTGCCACACACGCTCAGGTCAGTATCATTAAATGATATAATATTGTTATCAGTGAACCAACAATAACATATTTCACGAGCCGTTATTGCTGGAGTTCTTCTTTAGAAATAGCTACTTGCAGGTGTAGTGTTACATCGATTTTAGTAGGAACATAATAATATGGTGTATGCTACAAAGTTCAGTGGCATCGCTTGTTTAAACTAGATTTTTATAAAACCATTTTAAATGTGTTGTACAGTTATATTTTATTTTTAAGCATGTCAATGATTCGACAGAGCGGCAGCAGTGCAGGACCGAGTGGCGCAGGCGGCGCCCCCGCTGGAGAAGGCGCGCCCCCCGCGGGCGGCGGGGGCGGGGCCGGGGGGGGGGCCGGGGGCGCCGCGGCCGCGCCCGCGCTGCGCAAGCTGCAGCTGCAGCAGGTGGCCGTGCGCCGCGCGCCGCCCGCCGGGGGCGCGGGGGGCGCGGCCGGGGGCGCCGCCCCGCGTCTACTGTCGGCGCGCGCGCCCCCGCACGTCGTGGTGGCGCACCTGGCGCCCCCCGCGGAGCGCGCCCCGCGCCCGGATTCCAGACAATAAAACGTTATAATTTCAATACCGAAATATGCATTTTCATTTTACGTTCTGTTACGAGGCCGCCCAAGACAAATAAGTATTTTTTAAAAGACAGTTATGCTACTTAATCTCTCACCGATCACCACATTAAGTACGTAGACACGGTCATAATTTTTTTATGAGGTCTATCCGACTCTCGAGTTAACGGATTACCCGATGGTAAGCAATAAGTGGAAAATAAAAAATATTGAAAAAAACAATCTAGAACGGAATCTGTACTCAACATTTTTTACGAGGTTCGAACTGAAAGTTCTTAGAACTGGCCACATTCTATACGATATAAGACAACTATATAAGACACAACTTATTTTTACATAAACGAAACCTGTGTGTGTTATGTGCTTAGAATATCTGCGCGCTTGTGGAGCTTGCCGAATGACATCTGGGATTTTGTTATGACATTTAACACAGAATCACACGGACGACTTAATAATGGCTGACATAATCTATCTCTATGTCTATACTCGGAATTTTAATTCCATTCCAGATTTGACAATTTCAGTGTTACAACGTTATGACACGTAATAAATAGTGACGTTGCGAAATTATTCGATGTGGAAATCGAATATTTCTGAATCGATTCCTCTCGTTTATAAATTTTCTCTCGTAAACTAAGTTTATCAGCAAATGAAATATTTCTGAACCGATAATTTAGTTTTGACAATTAATTAACGATCGGAGACATTTCTTTTGTAATTGTGTGTGAAATTAATAAAAAATTAGATCATGAAGGAACATGACAAATAAAACAGAAATTTTATAAATTGTCGCCGTCATCGCTATCGCTATCGCTGTTACTTTCAGTAACATTTGTTATGAATTGTGTCTGTCTGTTCTCAATTAATATATCTAGCTTACTCATTTTTTCCTCTTCTTTGACAACATGGGATACGCATTTAGACCATTCGGTAGCCGTAATTTTTTGAATGCCTTCCTGAAACTGATTCATTGATTGTTTATCGATTTTTGGTGTTCATCACTACACTGTTATATGTGGTATCATTATTTCACAAAATGACAGTAGGTCATGTCAAATCAGGAATCGAATTAAAATTCTGACTATAGTTTGATAATTATGTCCATCCGACACCTGATCAAATATATTTAAGTTTTTCCTAACATACATAATGTTTTCATTAATAAACCTACATGGCACAGTCATAATATTGATCTCTTTAAACTTTTCTCTTAGAGACTCACGACGCTTTAGGTTGTAAATAGCTCTGATGGCACGCTTTTGCAAGACAAAGATACACTCAATGTCAGCAGCCTGTCCCCACAAGATGCGACATAATGCTATGAAAGTAGCCGAAGTGGTGTACTTCGACTAGTCTTGCACATCTGTTAGCAGTCGGATCTTCCAGACAGTAAATGCTGCAGAGCTCAACCGTCCTGCCAGAGATGTGATATGGGGCCCCCATTGTAGTTTCTCATCTATGGTTATACCCAGAAAAGTAGGTACTTAGTTTGTTTTACAAATTCCAATTTCTTACCGTTTAATAATATGTCACATTCGTTACTTTTAACATTTGGCAAACTGTATCGTATACACTTTGTCTTTTTGTCGTTTAGGACTAAATCATTAACTGTAAACCAATTATGAACCTTCGTAATAGCATTATTTACGTCGTCATAACTATCTGTCCGTCTATTTATTTTAAAAATCAAAGATGTGTCATCAGCAAATAATACTTACCATTCTCGGTTCACGTTGAAATAAATAAGGTAAGTCATTTATGTACACTAAAAACAGGAAAGGACCCAATATCGAGCCCTGTGGTACGCCCATAGTTATGCTAGCACCCTGTGAGTTCATTTTATTTACTTGTACTCTTGTACTTTGAACTGCCTATCCTGCAGGAATGATTTTTTTTACTTGATATAAACTAGTGCTTGACTGCGATCCCACCTGATGGTAAGCAGTGATGCAATCATTGATGGTAAGGCGCACTAGTTTATTCTAGCCTTGAAGACACCTAAATTATATTTGGACGGAAAGACTGCAGCCGGCAAACTGTTCCAATCCCTTAATGTACGCGGTATGAATGATAAGTTTGAAATCGCCAATCTGCCTTGAGCACTTGTGGTGATTAATGCTAATACCTTCTCCGTGTGAGAAGAGGCCTTTGTTCAGTAGTGGGAGCTATTACGTTTTGTTTGAAATGAAATGACAAATGTAAATATTTTTGTAATGCTTTAGAAAATACAGGCATTAATTAAATTATCTTAATCTAAGCACGGTTGCGACTTAGTGTTTCATAGGTATTATATAGCACAGTGGGTATGTAGATATTGATGTTATCATGTGGGCGGCACTAGGCGCGCGGCGCGCAGGCGACGTGCACGTCGACGAGGCGCACGGCGGCCAGCAGGCGCGCGGCCGGCTCCAGCACGTCGGCCAGCGCCGCCGCCAGCGGCCGCAGCGCCGCGCGCAGCCCGCGCGACACGTTGGCCGCGAACACCAGCAGCGGCTGCAGCAGTGCGTTGAACGCCAGCGCCAGCGCCGGCTTCAGTGCGTAGTCCGACATGGTCTGCACCAGCCCCGCCGCCGCGCCGCGCACGCCCACCAGCACGCAGCGTGCCACCTGCAGCGCCAGCGCCACCGGCAGCGCCAGCGCCAGCTGCGGCGCGGCCAGCAGCTCGGCCAGCAGCGAGGCGGCCAGGCGCGAGGACCGGCGTGCGGCCCGCTCCACGACCGTCGGCCGGCCGCCGCCCCCGCCGCATGTCGCCAGGAACTCGCAGCTGCCGTGCTCGAAATAGTATACTTCCACGCGGTCCGGCTCTGTCGAGGGTGGAAGAGCCATTTTTTTAAGCAAAGCTGCTGTTTTATTTACTTTATCATTTTAAAGCGTACGTGTTAGACAAATAATAATTCTTCGCCATTCTTCCTGGCCTGGCTAATGACAGAACCATAACCTAGACCAAGCTTAAACCTGAAAGAAGCAATCGCATTTGCCAGAGTGATATCATCAGCATACGGTTTGGAAGGGTTCCATAAGGCTTGGTAACGCTTAAAGTCAACTTAAGTACATGTCTTAATTAAAAAAAAAAGAAAGAAAGAAAATCAGTTAATTAATTCACGTTGTGCGACCCAAAAGTAATCATAGATATAATAAAAAAAAAATATCTGTCTATCGATAGGAATCTAACATTCATCTTCATAAGCCTATATGTGAGTACTGCTGAGCAGAGGCCTCTTCTTACAAGAAAAATGTTTGAGTATTAATCACCACGCTTGCTCGTGTTTTTCCCTGCACGGTGTGTCAGCCAGAGTTTACCTGAATGTGGAAAGAATGTTTCTTACCGCTGTCGCACAATTTATCTGTACCCATATCTTGAAACAGCTTCCACGTTTTATTCTTCTTCTGTAATACAAATATTTAAATCATATTATGTATTATTGGAGGTTTAACTGTTAAAGGTGGCTAAAAATGCAGCGCTTGTAAGGTCGCTGACCAAATAAATATGTACCGCCGACAGACAGCGTACATAGAAATAAGGATATAAAGGTCTTTGGTTCTTTATGATCTTCTTCCCTTATTCATGTTCACGTTCACATAATCCGCATAGTCCAGCCAAATGTGAAAGAAGAGTGGAGCAGGGTTAGATGTTCAAGCACTGACTAGGTCACCCATCAGATGATGCTGTTTCATAGGATTATTCTTGGGAAGGTGGGAGTGGGACAAAGTGAATCGCGGTCCACCGTGAAGTCACCGTGATTGTGAGCTTGATCGATGTGCAGATTGGTCAAACGACAATAATGTAAGAAAGAATCATAGGATGTTTCATATCTTCTTGCAAGTTGGCGTAATCTCCCTCCTACTCGTAATATGTATAAACTCAATGAAATCAGTTGTGAGTACTTTTGATTCGTACCGACCTCACTTTATATGTTCGGGGGTACAAAACCATGTGTGTTTGTGCGGGTTTTTGGTAGGTTGTGGCTGACGGGCTTGTACCTAATGTTGTAATACTCATAGTATGAATAATGTGTCTTAATTGCTTTTTTAAATAAATTAATAATAAATATAAAGGTGATTTTTGTCTATTCAATTAATTGTTCTAAGTAACTAGTCGCACTCTATTTTATAACGTAGGTACTTATATCATAAGGATCACGACTTCACAGTTAAAGTCAAAATCATTAATTTCAATTAGACCATAATAGGCACTTTTGAACGTCAAGCAAAGAAAGGAAAAAGTATTTCAAGAGCTTTAACTTTAAGTGTGTCAGTCTGTCCGTCCGTCCTCTAGTGAAGCTATTTGCTCTTCCAAAGTGTAGATTCCTATGGAGAAGAACGAGCAAGAAACTCCATGGTTAGGTACTCTTTTTCAATCAGTTTTACAATTAATTTCTTTGTTACATCATTTAATCGGTTCTAATTGATAAACCAGCCAGCAGGTAGGTGATGATGTTTCGAATTTACACCTGGATCACAGAAGTGTTGAAGATGATGGTCCTGATAAAGGATTTCGTGTCGTGTCGTTGAATGTAGGCTGACCTGGTGAGGCAGGGCGGCGGGCGGCGTGGCGCCCGGCGAGTGCGGGGCCGCGGCCGTTGGCTCCCGGGACGCGCCCGTACCAGTGTCTACTAACACTCGTTTCCTGCGGCCGAAGACGTACAACCCATGCATATTTTACTGTATTAACACAGGTAATGCCTCCTCTACACGCCGGTGGACGCGTCCGGCACTTATACGTTTGTTGTCGATTTTTGTAGCACGGATCAATGGGATCTAGCGCCGGCGAACGGCGCGAGCGTGGGGTGTGTCCACACGTCTGACGACTTTTTACACCCTGTATATCTATATATACAGGGTGTAAAAAGACACTTAACGAAGCCGTTAACTACGTACTGCAGTTCTAACTAAGTAGCTTTACGCTAAAATTATTACTGGGAAACGACTTTTATTTTTAGGTATCAAAAAAATAATAATTTTATTGCGCGCAATGTAAAGCAAACGGGCTTCGTGTCATTATGTGCGTAGGTTCACAGCTTAGCATTAAAACGCTGTGATAAGTACGTAGGTCGACGTTTTACTTCGCAACAACAAAACAATTCTGTAAAATAAAAATCCTACTGAGATGCACGATGTTTTTTGTGCATTTATTTATTACGTACATTACTGTTCGTAACTTCAAATGAATGTCATAATAATACATACTTAGAATTCGATTGCGAAAAAAAATGCATCTTTAACCTTCAGTATCTCGAGAACCCGTGGGGTCCCAGCTATGGTCTTACAGAAAAAAATGATCCAAATAATGGGTAGAATACGTGGCTTTCGGCTTCGTTAAGTGTCTTTTTACACCCTGTACATAGTTATGGGGATATAGTGTAAAGTGTAATGACGTGTGATATATAAGTGTAAAGGTATGCTATAATTTTTTTAAAGTTAGATATTTTTTAGTTTAATTATATTTTCTGTAAAATCCCTGAATGAAAACAAAAAAAGCAATAATTTTAGACAGTATGTATGTACGAGCAAACCCGTACATTTTGTATTGTTTAGTAATAATGCTGACGTTGCACTTACTATGCTGTGCGTCGCGCTCTACTTAGCAATAAGTTATTTTAGTACAAATAAACCCGTGAAACAGTAAACATCGTTTTACTTAATCAAATTCCCTAACTAGGGTCGCGGCGCGGTACTCATAACATTTTAACAATAATTAACAAGGTGTAAGGTGAACACCGTACATCTTTATGGTCCTTCGAGCCGGATCTGCGGGATCATTATCGCGAGCAATCAGCAGACTTTGTGTTCGTTCGTGTGAGTGGTTCCAGATCAGCAACAGCCGTGGAGTTGCAGTCCAGGGAGTAAACAGCTGTCCTGAGTGTAATCTACCGTCAGCAGAATCAAAGTAAGATCTTTCCTTTTTTTTCGCTTGAGCTAACAATATGAGCCAAACAATGGAGGATCTTCTGGCAACGCAGAAACAAATCATGGCGGCCATGAATCAACTTTTATCAAACTTTAAGAAAGATGGTCAGGAACGCAAAACTCCTGACTACATCAAACGTAGATTGGAAACATTAGACTCCTACTGGCAGGAGTTTCAATCTAATAACGATCAGTTAACACCCTTTAGCAACAAATCGATTGATTATTTTGCGTTAAATCATTATCAACAAACTCATGCTTTCTATCTTTCGACGCGTGAAACTATAAAAGCAGCTGGACCTCCGTCTATTTTAAGACCCGCAACACCGTTAGCCGGCACATCCAGGGCCGGCGTGGACGGGACTCTTAAGAACAGGAATACCGAGGAGAGCGAATCAACTACCTTTCTTGCAACGTCGAAATTCAAATCTCAGGGCACTAACAGCAGGTTAGATGATTTACTGAAGAAGCAGAGTATAAACTTTAAAGCCTTTCATCGAACGGTAACAAACATAAACGTCGACGACATAACCGAAAAATGGGAGTTTCAAGATACTCTGAAAACATTGGAATCAAGGTGGTCGGCCATTGACATGCTTCACTGGGAGTTGGAAGGAGAACTAGACGGGCAGGATGATTCGTATGAAGACAAATTTACCTCTTATGAAAGGACTTACAACAACATGAAGAAGTCTCTGAACAGCAAATTGTGGTCTGTATCACACCGAGAACAATCTACCCCAAAGATGGAAGTGCCTACGTTTAATGGTCATTATCAGCATTGGGTATCCTTTAAAGACTTGTTCACAGAGGCCATCCACAATAATCCGTCACTTTCTCAAGCTCAAAAGATGCAGTTCCTTAAAGCTAAACTGAAAGGGGAAGCCGAGGGTTTAATACATCATCTTAACATTAGTTCAGAAAATTATTCAACATGTTGGGAAATCCTTAATCATAGGTACAATAACAAACTGCGTATATTCACCTCACACATGAATACTCTAACTAACCTTCCGGTCATGCAACAACCCTCAGTCTACTATGTTAAACGCATCCACGATACAACTATAGAGTGTGTCAACGCTATTAAAAATATGGGAGCTGACGTGAGCACATGGGACCCTATAATTTGCTATCTGATGTCGAATAAATTAGATGCTAACACACATTCCGAATACATCGCATCTCTCAAGCAACCCCGTGAATTGCCTATTCTGTCAGAGTTTTTGGACTTCCTGGAAGCCAAATTTACAAGCATGGAGTCATCACGGCGTAAACAAGATCAAAAATCTCTGAACTCCAACGCAAAATCATCTAAGGATAATAATCTGAATAACAAAAGTATCAATCGTAATTCGAAACAATCTTATTCGAGCCACAAAAACTTTTCGAAGGCAAATGGAAAATTCCATTATAAACGAACTTGCCCATTATGCAAAAATGGTCATGGATTATTCCATTGTGAACAATATATTGGATTGTCCCCAATTGACAAAAAACAATTTGTCATCGACAACAAGCTATGCGAAAATTGTCTTTTTAGTCATAAAGGCAAAGAATGTATTTCAACAAAACGGTGTCAAGAGTGTGACGCAAGTCATAATACACTACTTCATGATGCGTTTGCGCAAGCCGCAAACACAACGCCCAACCAAGCAAAATCAAAAGCGACAAATTTCCGTACTTTGCCTGAGCAAAATCAGCAACTTGGCACGCACGTGGCTCAACAACGTGAAGTACCGGAAACGTTATTGTCCACAGCCGTAATAAGGGTTCAAAAATATGATGGATCTTTTCTTATCATGCGAGCTTTGATTGATCAGGGCTCCCAAACTTCACTCATCACCGAAAATGCGGCGCAACAATTAGGACTTCCTCGTCAACGATGCAAAGGTGTCATAACCGGTATAGGAGCCAGGAACAATGCCTGTAAGGGAATTATCAATATAAACTGCTCATCAAGAAACGACTCTTATTTCTTTAATACTGACGTTTTTATAATGAAAAGCTTAACAAAAAATCTGCCAACTTATACCTTTGCGAAGCCCACATGGTCTTACTTAGAAAACATAGAACTTGCAGATCCTGACTTTCACGTCAGTCGTCCGATAGATATTTTATTTGGCGCAGATATATATTCAAACATAATTATGGCGGGTATCTGCAGACTTGATCAAACCACGCCAATTGCTCAACAGACTCGGCTTGGGTGGATCCTGTGCGGCAACGTGAACACACTTCAATGCAACGTAGTCCAGTTAGATATGGAGCAATTGCAAAAATTTTGGGAAACGGAGGAGATTGCAGAGTCGACTTCGCATACCTCAGATGATCAAGAGTGTCTGAGATTTTACAGTTCAACAACAAAACGACTGCCAGACGGCAGATATGTTGTAAGACTCCCTCTGAAAGGAAATTTACAAGAACAATTGGGCAACTCGAAATCAAAAGCCATTGCACAATTTGGTCATCTGGAACGTAAACTAATTAAAAATGAAAACATTGCAAAGGAATATAAATCATTTATACACGAATACCTAGCGTTAGGACATATGAAACCAACTATTCGTAACACGAAACTCGAATGTTTCTTGCCCCATCATTGTGTGCTACGAGACGATTCGACGACTACAGCACTCCGAGTCGTTTTTAATGCCTCATCAAAAACAACAAGTGGACAAAGTTTAAACGATTTGATGTACAAGGGCCCAAATCTGCAACAAGACCTTCAGTCATTGATACTTAAGTGGAGGCAGTATCAATTTGCCTTCACCGCAGATATTGAAAAGATGTTCCGTCAAATTTTAGTCCATCATGAAGATCAGAGCCTGCAAAAGATCGTATGGAGAGATAGTCCCAGAGACAAACTACGAGAATATCAGCTGACCACTGTCACATACGGGACTAAAGCAGCTCCTTTCCTCGCAATGATGACGCTAAAACAGCTGGCGAACGACGAACGTGCCGAATATCCGGAAGCGTCTAAAGTCCTGGAGGACTCATTTTACATGGATGACCTTCTCCATGGTACTCATAGCATACCTGCGGCACGTCAACTTCAACAAGATTTAATTACTCTCCTGGAACGCGGGGGATTTAATCTTAGAAAATGGGCTTCTAATGATCCACATTTATTGCACGATGAAGTCCCATGCCAACAACAAAGCAAAAGCTTTCGACAGCCAGAATCTACGAAGACATTAGGACTGCGCTGGAATCCTGTCAAGGATAAATTTACGTTTGAACAAAAAATTGACTCCACAGTCGACAAGGCCACAAAGCGGTCCGTTTTGTCCGACATCTCTAAGTTTTTTGATCCATTAGGATGGATCACACCTACAACTACGAAATTTAAAATTTTATTTCAACGAATTTGGACTTCACAAATACAGTGGGATGAGCAGATACCTGAAGATATTCTGGAAGACTGGAAAAAACTTAAGGCGGACATTTATCAAATAAATCAGGTTCAAATACCAAGATGGTTAGGCACAAAACCAAAACAAAGATTCGAATTACATGGTTTTTGCGACTCGTCAACAAAGGCATACGCCTGCGTTATTTACTGTAAAGTTTATAACAAACAAACAAATATTATACTGGTGGCTGGAAAATCAAGAATAATTCCCGCTAACAAAAACATTTCATTGCCGCGACTGGAGCTTTGCGGCGCTCATTTATTAGCTAAACTCATGGCAAAAGTCAAGACTTCTTTAACTGACTACAAGATTGATGTTTATGGCTGGGTT